CGGTAGCTCCAGAGTCCACCCCCGAAGAACCAGGCGCACCACCCCCAGAGGCAGCACTAACACCAGCTCCAGACCCAGGCTCACCAGAACCCGAAGGAGGCGCACTCTCACCCCCAGTGTCCGCGCGACCAGCACCAGCTCCCGAACGACAAGAGTCCTCTGCACCCACCGGGTCAGCTCCAACTCCAGAACCAGAAACTCCAGCTCCAACTCCAGCACCCCCAGAACCAGAAACTCCAGTGCCTCCTCCAGCTCCACCTCCTGCTCCAACACCAGCTCCACCTACAGCTCCAACACCAGCTCCAACACCATCACCCCCAGAACCAGAAACCGGTACAGGAACAGGCGCAGCACCAACCTCTCGAGAGCTAGCACCAGCGGCACGCTGCGAGGAGGACTGTGGGGAGGGAGGCTGTACCGGAGGGGCTACCGAAGGAGGAGGGGTAGCCTGGGACACACCTGACGGGGCTGGGCCAGGGGGGGGAGGCTGTACCGGGGGAGCAAGAGGGGGAGCGGCAGTCAGGAAGAGGGGGGGAGGAGGAACCGGGAGACCTTGACTGGGGTACCTGACGTAGTACGGAGTGGACTCCTCGAAACGGACGTCACGGGAGTCAAAGAACCGGTGAGAGGGAGGGTGGTAAAAGGTGAAGTCAGAGGAGTCCTCAGGGAAACCAAGGAAGACACAGGGGACGGCACGAGGCGAGAGCTTGTCCGCGGAGGTGTCGCGGACAAGAGCCAAGCACCCCCAGACACGAAACCGCGACGCAACACCAGGGGACCCTGTCCAAAGACTGGTCGGTGAAACCTCTGGTCGAGAGACACGTGGCCAGAGGTTCAGCTGGTGCGCGGCGTACCTGACCGCGTAGGGCCACAGAAAATGGGGGGCACAGGCGTGAGTCAGGGAGGTGCGGGCGATCTCCATGACCAGGCCTATGCGGCGCTCAGCAACCCCATTCTGCTGTGGGGACTCTGGAAGCGTCCAGGACTGACGAATGCCCTGCTCGCGACAGAATCCAGCGAGAATGCCGGAGCGAAACTCACCCCCACGGTCGGAGTGGAGACAGCTGACACGACGACCACGAGTGTCCTCGGTGGTGAGCAACCACCTGATCAGCGTAGAAGTCACCTCGGACTTCTTCGCCAGAGGGAACACTGTGGTGTAGCGGGAGAAGTCGTCAACGACCACCAGAAAGTAACGCTCACGCTCAGGGCCTAGACGAGGGGCGGGGCCCCAGACGTCCAAGTGAAGCGTCTCAAAAGGCTCGGTGGCCGGACGAAGGGAGGAGGAGTGAGGGGTGGCGCGCAGCCTACCCTCGACGCAGGGACGACACGGCGGCGCAAGCGAAGGCGGCAGCGACGGCAAGACACGTGGGAGGCCTAGGACAAGACGCTGACTAGACATAGCGCGCAGACGTGGAAGGGACGGGTGCCCCATCCGGTGGTGCCACAGAACGGTGGGGTGGGCAAGCGACCGGCAGGAGCACGACGCAGCGACTGGAACAGACGTAGGAACCTGATACGACACAGACACCTGGGGGGACGAAGCAACCTGGTGAGACGCGGGGACCCGAACGGGGGGGGGAACCGGGGGCAGTGGCAGTAGGTGGGGCTGCTGGTGCGGCCGCTGGTGCTGCTGCTGCTGCTGCTGCTGCTGCTGCTGCTGCTGCTGCTGCGGCTGCGGCTGCTGCTGCTGCTGCGGCTGCTGCTGCGGCGCACGCGGGCCAGTGTGAAGAGTGTAGAGACCCGAGCCCGGCTCAGCAGTAAAGGTAGCAAGAGGCTGGTAAGAGTCTCCGTCAACACACACCGCAGTCTCTCCAGAAGGCTCAAACCACACACCCACGTGCTGACTCACGAGGGGTCGCACGCCCACCAAGTTCCGGGAGAACGAGGGGACGTGAAACCCAGTTAGAGACCCGGAGGGAGCAGCAGGACACGGTAAAGTGGTAGTGTGACGTGCAGTGACTGGTCCCGTAGTGGGATCAGCCAACGCTACAGAAACAGGCGCAGGAAGTGGTGTAAGTGTCGTGCTGTCCCGGAAGAAGCAGTGGGAGGCTCCAGAGTCCAGTGTGAACGACAGCAAAGCGTCGTCTGAGGTAGTCGCTGGTCCAGAGTCTACACAAGTACCTACACTAGCAACAGGCAACTGAGCAAGACTAGCACCTAAGCTAACAACACCAGAGTAAACAGAGTCAGAAACACTAGAGTCAACAACAGCATACATAGCATGAGGAGCACTAATCAGATCAACTAACTGCTCAGCAGACATGCCCCACAGAGCGGAGCCGTAGCGCTCAACCAGAGGAAGCCAGTCAGGAGCAGGACCGCCAACCCCGTAGGTCAACCGGACCGTGTCAGTGAGCTGAGCAAAGCACTGACCAGGGGGGTGAAAGCGGCCACAAGGGTGGCCCCGACGAGGACCTGTCTGAACCTGGTAGGGGCAGGGAGGGTAAGCCGCACCGCGCTGGGGCTGACGCCGCCCCGACCCCGGAGCCAGCTGCTGACGCTGCTGCTGCTGAGGCTGCTGGGAGGAAAGGGGCTGCTGCTGCTGCTGAAGGTGCTGCTGATGCTGAGCCTGGTACCACGCCGCTGCTCCACCTAGCGGGGCCGGCAGTACAGGAGGCGACTGACGAGCTCGGGGGTCGCCGCCACCAGCAGGTGCAGTGGAGTCACCAGCCGCTGCACGAGGGGTCTCTCCAGACGCTGCACTCCCACCACCGCCAGTCGCAACAGCACCCCCACTACCTCCGCTACCTCCGCCTCCACCTCCACCAGAACCACCTTTCTTGCCCCCCCTGCCGCGGGACCGCGACGCAGTCGTAACAGCAGCCGCAGTCGCGTCAGTAGCGGCAGTGGCAAGAGAGGCAGTGAAGGTGGGTAACTGCGGGACTGTGCACCCGTGGAAGAGTGGGGGGGACACAGTACCAGAGGCGGCAGCTACCGAACGAAGGTTGCTCTCGACGTCCTTGAGTGCAGACTCAAGGACCTCGATAGTCAGCTCACTAGGGCGCTTCAGCAGAAGCGCGTCACGAACGGAGGCAAGGCGGTCAGGGAGGCTAGTGGCGATGAAATAGACAGTGATCGCCATGGGGGGAGGAAGCAGTGCAAGCTGTGCCTCAGTGCAAGCAGCGCGGTAACTAGCGTCGAGCGAGCGGAGGTGAGCGATCAAGTCAGCAGAGCGCTCAAACGAGGCAAGATCAGGAAACAGGAACGGGAGGAAAAGACGGCCAAGAGAGACAGTAGCGGGAGTAGAGTAGCGGGCCTTAATCGCAGTGAGGTACGCAGCAGCGGTGCGAACCTGAGTAAGTGGACCTCCTCAGACTCAGGGAGGAGGCTGCTGAGTGCGATGCAGGCCGCAGCGTCACGCGACGTCCAAGCCGTCCGGTCAGCGCGCTGACGGGCAAAGCGAGCCGTAGCAGCGTCGTCAGGAGCAGGGCCTAAAGCTGTAGGCTCGGGGGGCTCGGGGAGGTCACCAGTAGCGTGTGACCAGAGGGTCTCGCCCCCCTGGACCTGACTCTCTAACAGGCGGCGAGCGCGAAGAAGCCAGACGGAAAAGTCAAGTGGTCTACCGTCAGCGTCGAAACGAAGAACTTGAGGCCAGGGCTTAGGGTAGGGCGACGGGCCAGGGCTTAGGGAGGGCGACGGGCCAGGGCCTAGGGTAGGGCGACGCGACGGGGGAAAGGGCGGGAGCGACGCGACGGGGCAGGGCGACGCGACGGCACAGGGCGACGCGACGGGGCAGGGCGGCGCGACGGGGCAGGGCGACGGGATGGGGCAGGGCGACGCGACGGGGTAGGGTGACGCGACGGGACAGGGCGACTGGACGGGGGGGGGAACAGGCGGGCACGACGCGACGGGGGGAACGGGCGCGACGCGACGGGGGGGAAAGGGCGTGACGCGACGGGGGGAAAGGGCGCGACGCGACGGGGGGGAGGGGAAAGGGCGCGAGGCGACGGGGAGAAAGGGCGCTAAGCGACGGGGGAAAGGGCGCTAGGCTCGCTACTAGGCGCAGTAACAACGGAACTGGTACGAACGAGAGGTAGGATCAGGCTCGGGAGTCGGGAGGTACGAACGGAGAACGGAGGAACGGGATCCCACAGGATCCTAACCTAGCTGATACCATGTCATAATGAGGAATGAATGGTTCCATTGATGTTGGTTGGGGTACATATAACAAACCCTAACTTCTGTACCCCCTAAGACAAACCTCACTACAGGTCACAACATTTGACACTAACCACTAATGATCAGTATTTTTTAGATAAGTATTGATTATGCGGAAATGTTGGTTGACTTATTGTCTCGGGAAGGATTCAGAATGTGCATTCAGTGTACACTTCGATAAAAGTCTGAAACATCAGTGTTAGCTATGAAGTAGGCTAAAAAAATCAGTGTAACAAAAATCTCAACACTGAAAATTCAGTGTAGGTACACAAAACTAGGCTAAAAATCAGGAATTTCAGGGAAAAATTCCTGATATCGTAGGGCCTGTTTAGCACCACAGTCAGCACCATTACCACTCGCAATCCTCGCATCGACAATCCTCTCGCCACCTTCGTACGTCGCACCCCGACCTCACGGCTCGGCAGGTAACCCGCACTGCTAGCCTCCGCCTCGGTTCCAGGCCCGTCGCGCGTCACCCATAGTTCATTACCGTTACCACTGTAGTTTCGCTATATATTCTTCGCTCATGTCTTAGCTCATTGCAGTCTTGCTTAGATAGTGCAATTCTCGTTCGTTCGATCACTCAATTGCACTCGTAACAGCTTCGCATCCCACACTAATCTGCCTCTGGCAAGCAGACATTGGATGAATAGCCAGCAAGATACTTGTGATATGCATCTTTATTCACAGTGCTGGTTTGGCATACAAGGTCGCAACACTAACTAAATCGCTACGTCAGGTTGTCTGAAACTGATAACTCGGCTGCAATGGAGCAACGGAGTTAACAGCAATATGAAGTATGACACCTCTAGTCGCTAAAAATGCTGAAGCTATGAACATCACTGAACTTCCACTGTTGCCATGGGGGTAGTTACGTCGCTCGACCCATCCAAGAACACTTCCTCATCTTGGGGCTCTTCCTCAGCCTCTTCCACATCAGCAGGTTCCTGCTCGTTGTCAACTTCTGCTTCTGCCTCGCCATTTCCGTGCAAAAGAGCGCGCGCCTGATCCAAAGTGTCTTCCGCGTCTTCTGTTGCGTAGAGAATCTTCAGCACGGCAGCGTTCTGCTACGATGGGAAGAAGTGCATATTGGGGAATGAGTGTTGTGCTCCAAAAGTAAAAACCGTTATCGACGAGATATAGGTGGACTGCGGCTCACCGGTAACGTAGCATGACCAGGCGTTTGGCAGAGAAGTTCGATATCCCTGAGCTTCGTGAAATAAAAATCCCGTTCCTTCTCAAGGCTGTCAATAGTCATCTTGTGCTCGGAAATCTGCACAAACAACGACGATTGTCAAACATAATAATGATTGATTGAGCTGAATACTTAGAAGGAGATTCTTATTACCTGTTCTCGGAGCTCCTGGACTTGCTTGTCATACAGCTGGTAATCAGATGTGTTCGATCCAGCAGAGGTCCGGGTGGCAGTTGACCTTGCAGTTCCTGCACACAGGCAGCGATGGTCAGCGAAGGGGCCTTTGGATCAAAAGAAGAAATATGATTGCTTCATTCTTACCTGTCGCTGACTTGCTCATAACCGGCTGCGCACGGGGTTGCGCGCGAGGCCGAGAGGCAGCAGGTTGAGGAAACTTCCTCAACATCTCCTTCCCACCCTTAGAAGAGTTGCGGCGCTCCACAGGATTGTAACTGCAACGCCACCAACGTGCTTTAGCGACACATGCCTTTGTGATGATCGGCTTCAAGCAAACAAGCGTTTGTGGTGCTCACCCAGGATCGATGACTCCCTTGCTAATGGTATCGCAATAACGCTTCATCCACTGCATGAACTCAAGGTTGTCCAATGGCCGCCCTTTCACAAGCTTGTTCACCTCGATGTGCTGCACCAAGAGGAATGATAGTAAGTGCTTTCTGCTTCGGCAACCAATAAAACCAAAATCATCTGCTTGTTCTTGCCACAGCTTTGGCAAAAACACGGTACCTTTGCTATCTTCAGTTTGTCGAAAACATCCTGAAGGACCTTGTAATTCTGAATCATTTCGTACTCATTCTTCGCATCGTAGTTGACCTGCAAGGCATCCAATCACAAATATATTAGTCGCATACCACCATTGAGCAGTGGACATCTTCCAAGTGATAAGAAAATCGTACTTTATGCATAGGGACGACATTCGGATAGATAGCGTCCATAAGCTGGCAGTGGATAGCCCCCGAAGCTGCCTGCGCAAGGTGAGACAGAACGTCAGGATCATACTTCGCACTTGCTCCATTTAACGGTCAGCATCACACAGTCCGAATCTCCTACCTCTTCGACTTTAGTGATATTCAGCTGAAGGGTCGTATTGATCCATGCTAAGATGTCAGACCTAGATACGAAGTACGCTCCGTCCATAATGCCAATGTTAGCCATGGCTTCAGCTGGGAAGGAAGCCGGAACAAGGTTGGTTGGAGAATATGTCACGTGTAAGATGGAGGATGTGGGAGATCGAATTCGTAGAGGTTGAGGAGAGTTCTCAAAATGAATCACATGACATGTTGAGAGAGGTGAGCTATGTTGTGGAAGGGCTCAAGGGAGGCCCCAAAAGAGAACAGGGATGAGATGAGACACGATGCGGGCCTGCCTGACATGAAAGTTGCCGAACCTGACTTCTCGTGTCGCGCGGGTAGACCGACTTTTCCAAGATAATCAAGGCGGGGCACGGAGTCGCGGTGCAACTTCCCTCCCTGCCACGTCGCACACACCGTCGCTTGCTGTTTTACGAATAACGTCGCAACGCAGAACGGAATTCGCAAATCTAAAACTACACGCTGGTCAACCAAACCTGGCTTGTTTCCCGCTCCCAAGCAAGCAAACGGCTTGCTTCGGTATTCCCCAGATGCTTGTGTGTTTGTCTGAGACTACTACACGCTAGCAGACAACCACATGCTATATAAATCGGTGCCAGCAATGCTTAGACCCCTGACTGAAATATATCATTCGGAAGTACCACTGGCAGTTTCACTATGCCTGGAAAATCAGGGTACTGTCAACCTGATGTTCTCTGAACAGTATAGATTTATAAAAGTCTGCCCTGAGAGCTCAGGGTGCCCTACAACGGTTCTGGGGTCATGGCATGTAGTATCACAACAAGTATCCGCATCCACAAACATCAGCAATCTTGCAATTGCAACTCACAATTTCCTCGGGTAAGCCAGCAGTGGTGGTAAGTTGGTAACTGGAAAAAAGACTCCACTGAAAAAAACCCCGTTACTTGTCCACCTCCCTGTCGCCGTCCTCTCTCAATACAAACAGCCTGCCTCCAAACGCTTTGCAAAGCGCAATCGCAGCAGCTTCTGCAGGATCCAAATCATCAAACCTTCCACTGCTCTTAACATCATTCACCGGCCTCCCTGACTCAGCTCCAGGATCAGTCCTACTGAGAGCCCCATGGTCACTCGGAAAAGCCTTGAGTTGAACAGGTCCCCGAGTCCAGCCACGAGATGCAAAGGTCATGCGCACGGCCCCACCAGTGCTTCCCCCAACGTTTGAGCCGCTGGTCCCGCGACCAGCGGAAGCTGTGGCAACGGTGGGACGCGTACCACGGCTGGGGGAGGTCCGGGCAGCAGCAGCAAGAGCAGCACCTTCTTCACGCCAGCCAGAGTCAGTATGGCCTCTGAATCCACCACGACCATCCCTAGGATAGGCTGCATCCATGCCAGTGTCAACTTCAGCAGCAGCAACTCTGGGAATGGCTTGAGCAGAAATGCTGCTGTTGTCAACAGGAGCCATAGCATTGGCGCCAGCAGCAGCTGCCTCCAAATCAGTTTCTGCGGCAGAGGCAAAGGCAGCAGCAGCAACTTCGACATCAGCTTCTGCTACAGCCACAGCCTCCACATCAGCTTCTGCTGCGGCCACAGCCTCCGCATCAGATTCTGCTTCAGCAGCACCATCAGACAAAGCAGAAGCGGCACCGTCCGCCAAAGCAACAGCAGGACCGTCCGCCAAAGCAACAGCAGGACCGTCTGCCAAAGCAACAGCAGGACCGTCCGCCAAAGCAACAGCAGGACCGTCCGCCAAAGCAACAGCAGGACCGTCCGCCAAAGAAACAGCAGGACCGTCCGCCAAAGAAGCAGCAGGAGCGTCAACCAAAGCAGCAGGAGCAACAACAGGGACGGCGTCAGAAGCGCGTTCGATATCTGCGATAAGATCCTCTCCTTGTGCAACAAACCCTAGCAGGCCCCCATCCATGATGCCATGGCCCACACTGGCTTCCAGAAAACCATCACGCACAGTATCCTCCACCGCATGACCGTTCACAACCCCATTCACAAGAGCGCCCCCTGGAGGGCCCTCCACATCTGCATCACCCTCATGGCTCCCCACAATAACGCCTCCTGGCGCCTCCTCGACTTCCGAAACAGAATTAAGTCCCAGCTGCACATCATTGATCGATGGGTCATATTCATGGCTCACACTCCCCACTGTCAACCCACCATCAGCCTCACCACCACCAAGAATGGCAGTTCCTGTTTCTTCATCAGGTGTAGAAGTTCCTGGCTGACCTGCTTCTGTGATTCCAGAATCCACCGGCTCTGGTGATGGCAACTCCGTTCCATGCCCCACCACTTCTGTCGAGATATCATTGACACCGCCGCCGCTGCTGCTGCTGCTGGAACTGGAAGCTGCGCTGGAGCCAGCTTTCGCAGGCACAGACAAATGCACAGCATTCACCTGTGAAGGACCATGACTCAAAACGTCGTTCGAGTCCCAGCCATCAGCAGCACCACGGCCACGCTCTACCTCCGGCCCACCTGATTCCAACAACCCGGAACCTGCCTCTGTCGTGACATGGTCACTCCGATCATAGGAAGCATGAGCACCTGCTGCTCCTAGAGTTACAACTGCCGGCAGCGGCAGAGACGCTACCCTTGGCGCCTGCTGGGCTGCTCGCCTCTGGTTCTTCCGCATGTCCGCTGATCTTCTAGCAGCAGCGGCCTTCGCAGCAACTGCTTGCAACTGGGCGAGCTGAGGGTAGCTCTGCGCAGCAGGCGGGGGCGGCGGGGGCTGGAACGAGTGATTAGGCACCGCCTCGCTTGCTTGATTGTTCTTCCTAGCTCCTTTGCCTTTGTCTCGTTGCGATCTCGCTACCACCAACCCTCTCCCCTCCTCCTCAGGTACCGACTGACTGACACCCTCCCTCACTCTGCGTCTCTCCTCTGGCACATTCCTTCCAGCCCCCTTAAGGACTGTGCCAGACTTAGCAGCAGCAGCAGCAGCAGCAGATGCAGAGGCCGCGGCTGCTAGGTCCTCCGCACTGGGTGCATCCGTAGCAGCCCCCAGGGACTCTTTGTCCACCAGCTGTATGGTCACGCGGCTGCGGAGGACCTTTGAGAAGGCTTCAGTGAAGCCGGGAATGATTGTCTTGCGCCTCCCATCGTTGAGCTTTTTTATCCACGCCTGGAGGAAGCTCAGCGTGACTGAGGGGGGGAAACAGGGGACCCATGTGCGCCAAGGGGGAGAGGGGAGAAGGGGAGGGGAGAGGCGTGATGAAGGGAGGGGGTGGAAGACACAAATATGTGCGAGACTTGTAAAGAGAAGTGCTATACACGCGCAAATTGCATGAGGGTGGTTTGTGAAGCTTGCTGAAACGATGCCCCTATGTGCAGAGCACGCGAGGGAGGTGGAAGCAGAAACTGTGCGTGCATCCATGGAAAGTGGGGACGGGGAGGAGAGGAGCGGGGGCAATGAAAAGGGGGGAGTAGCAGTAGGAAGAAACGGCAAGCAGAAAGCGCATGGAGCAACGCAGCGTCACACACACACATGGAAGTAATCAACGAGGTGTCCTTACCAGTGGTATCAGTGTCAGACGTATCGGTGACAGCAACGATGCAGGCTTGTTGAGTGAACAGGGAGCGCTGGTGGGGCGTCATCTCCGCCGTGGCTCTCCTCGCCAGCTCCCCCCACTCCCCCTCCGCCCGTGCAGCCCCGCTAGGCGCAGCGGATGAGGGAGGCGAGGAGGACGGGGGGGGCGCGGAGGAGGTGGGGGTGGAGGAGGAAGGGCGGGACGAGGAAGATAAAGAGGATGAGTGGGACGGAGCAGTGGAGGAGGAGACGTCTGGGGACGGGGGCGAGGAGGAGGGCGGGCGGGGAGGGGTGGAGGCTAAGTGGGGGGCCGAGGAGGCAGGAGAGGAGGGAGGTTGCGAGTTGGGAGAAGCATGCGAAGCAGGCCCGTAGACGGACCGGGGAGCTATGGAGCGAGGCAATGGCGAGGACGGATGGCTGGCGTCCGGGTGTGGGGTCAAACGTTCACCACTCGACTTGTATGCAGCCGGCGACGGGAAGTAGGGTTGAGAGGGCGGGGAGAAAGAAGTTTCCGCTGGTGCCATGAGAGAGGAGGCGGGTTGTAAGGGGGGCGAAGGAGAGGAGGAAGCGGAGTCGGATGCGGCTGAAATCTGGAAGGAGTAGGGGTATGTCTTTAAGAGAAGAGGCAGCTCCACGAGCAATGATGTAAACAGCTTGATGTTGGTCGGTTCCTCTTTCTGCTGCTTCTCTGCCTCTCTTAACTCCTTCACCGCTGCCTGCAGCAGCGACCGGCCCTCTCCAGTTGCTGCAGAGGAAGGTGGCCAGAAGCGGGGCGGCGAGGCAAGAGAGCAATAAACAAGAAAAGCAAACAGGGAGGCGTATGGGAAGAAAGAAAACTACAGGAGGTAAGTACAAGTCTACTCCAGACTGCTCGCACAGTCCCAAAACGAGGGAAGGACCCACTGACACTGCGTACCGGCTATGAAATCGAGCTGTCGATTGGTGCGCTTTTGCGTGAGCGCGTCAGTGGCGGCATCCCTAAGCTGGCGCAGCACCTGCGGGAACGCCACGCCCCTGCGCTCCAGGTCCTTGGCCGCCTCCGCCAGCTCCGTTGGCTGTGCGTCGCTCAGCGCGTGCACCAGCATCGCCTCCGCCTTCCACTGTGGCAACCGCTTGAACTGAGGGACGGATGGGTGGAGGGACGCGAAATAAGAGAGGACAGTGAGGGAGGAGAGGAGGGTGGGGAAGGAGAGGAGAGTGAGTGGAGGGAGGAGAATGGGGAAGGAGGAGAGAGTGAGAAAAGCAGAGGAGCGTGAGGGAGAAGGGGGTGGAGGACAGGGGGGGGGTCGCGACAAAGAGTGAGGAAGGAATGTCACATCAGAGGTCTTTAAGAGTGACGAGCATGAGGGGGGGAATGGTAAGCGAGGGGAGAGGAAGGGGGGAGAAGCACGCGTGGGGGCGAGAAACAGAAGATCCCCTTCCCTAAACCTGCATGTCTTGCCTTCCGTCCCCTTTCCCCCTCCCCGCCCTTCCCGTCCCCTCCCGGCCCCTCCCGCCCCCTCCCGTCCCACTCCCGTCCCCTCCCCCTTTCATCCCGTCCCCTTTCCCCCGTCCCTCCCTGCGCGCACATGATCGAGCACCAGGTCTCCCGTGATCCGCTTTTTCAGGAGGCTCAGCTGCTGCAGAACCTTCTTCGCGTCGCGCATCGACCCCGCCGCCTCCTCCGCAATCGCGCGCAGCCCGTCATCAGAGGCCTCCCACCGCTTCATCCGCGCGATTCTCCGCAGGTCATTCACCATGACGTCATTGGGCACGGCCGAGAACTCGAGCTCTTGGCAGCGCGAGACGATGTTGCGCGGCAACTGCTCCGGGTCGGTGGTAACGAGGATGAACACGGGGTCGCCCACAGGCTTTTCCAGCGTATCCAGCAACGTGGCCCAAGCTTCTCTCGTAAGCATGTGGCACTCGTCAAGAATGTGAACAATACGCGTGCCCTGCGTTGTCGGCGGCGTGGTCGGCGGCATGGTCGGCGGCGCCTCCTTCTCCGCGGTCTTCTTTACGATCTTCCTCGCGACCGCCACGCCGCGGTTGCTCGCCGCGTCGATCTCCACCACGTGCTCGCTCGTCCCGTCCGCCACGGCGCGGCAGTGCGCGCACTCCCCGCCGCACGGGTTCCCGTCGCCAGGCTTCCGCGTGGAGCAGTTGACTGCGGAAGCAAGGATGCGAGCAGCGGAGGTTTTCCCCGTACCGTACGGGCCATAGAAGAGGTACGTCGAAACGACTTGATTACCAGCCACTGCAGCTTTGAGAAGCGTCACCGTATTATCCTGTCCAATTACCTCGTCGAATCGTCTGGGTCGGGTCTCCCTGTTAATGTCCACTGGGGCGGCGCGGAAAGTGTCGACATCGCTAGGAGCTTCGTTAGTAGCGCCGTTTACAGATTCGTTAAAGTCTTCTCGACTCACCCCGTTATGGACTCCGTTAGCGGTGGTCGTTACGTCAAGGGCTTTCTCTTCGGAAAGGCCGGCACGAGACGAATCGAGACCCGAGGTGAAGTGGCTACCATTGTCCGCCCTCCTCGGACCATGTCTTTCTCTAGTATTGACTGCGCGACCGTCGCTGACAGCTGCTCTGCCATACTCCGTAGCAGTCGGCAGGGACTGGGCTAACGGCGACTGTCCCCCCCCACGTGGGAGACAGGTTTCCGGAGAGCGACCCACGGAAGCGGCGGAGGCTGCGGAGGAGAAGGGCTGACGGGTGGTGGTTAGCGCGAGGAGTCCACGCGGGAACTGCCAGGAGCGGAAGGAGAGAAGCGCGGAGAGCGAGGAGAAGGCGAGGGATCTTGATGGGTAGAGCAGCATGATGGTAGGACCGACTTGCACCCTCTCACATGCCAACGGGTGGACAGCGTGGAGCTGGGAGGAGTGAAAGCAGCAGCGGAGAGTACCGGACGAAGAGGGGAGCGAGAAAGTCACCCAGTCGCTACTAAGCCGGCCGTCTGGGGTGAGGGGGTATCTAGGAGTACGCGGAGAGTACTGAGAAGTAGAGGAAGGCGCGGCGGACATAGGTGGGGTTTTGACTACTAACGCCGCGGAAGAAGACATCGCCATTTGTGGTTGAAAATGGAGCTCGAACTGCGGGAGCTGGGCCGTTGTTGCAACATCAAGACAAGCTCATCAGGTCAGAGGGGTAATAAACGCGATTCTTGCGATGACACACAAAATGATTTAACGAAAGGAAAAGCACGTGCATCTCTATTTATTCTGAGCAATTGAGGTGACGTAGGATGGAAGAGACCGCATTACCAGGAGCAGTACCCCATAGTTTGTGTTCATCGACATTGACGAAGCTATCACAGCTACCAAGCAAAGCAGTGACGAAAACCCTAGAACACATGAAAATCGAGGTGGGAGGGAGCTGTATACTCGCTGCAACAGGTCCCGATCAAGAAACACAAACCTGTAATGGTTGAATCAAAAGCTACATGAATAAACGTATAGATGAGCGAGTTTTGGTGCTCCACATGCACATAAGAACACTTGACAGAATCACCGGATTTTGGGCCTAGATTCCTCATCCATCCAATCAGAGATCAATTTCTTCCTTGACTGATGCGAATCTCTCCAAACTCTTGACATCTTCTTACGCAGAGCATGCGGCCTGCCCTGCGCCTGCCTTTTCCCCGGAAGAGTTCCCAACCCAACCCAACCCAACCCCGGGATTCACGATACTGTTCAAATTATTCTTTTGGTCGCTGCAGGCGGCAAGGGGTGGATGCATCATGGGTGTGATGTGGTCGTCGAGGGGGAATGTATCGAGCTGCAAATTTCAGGCAAGCGCAGCTAGCGTGTCACGGCACGGTTCGTCAGAATCAGGAATCAGAGGAGTTTCAATCTAATCCTTGTTCATACAACTCTGGCTTGTCAGTCCATCCAGCCTACTTGTGAAGCCAATACGTACTGTCTTGCTGGCTGCTTCCACCAATCAATCTCGCCTGCAGCAGCCCTAGCGAGCCGGCCGTGCGTACCACATCCAGTTATGGCGACGACTCTCTGCGCTGGTCGTGCCGCAATGCCCGCTCTCCACCTCCACGGCTCCATCGCCTCGCCTCCTTCTCGCGCCAGAACCGGACTCTCTTCGCCGAACTCGTTTTCGCCATTGATTTGTCCTAGTTTATTGCTCTCCGCGGAGCAACCCAGAGCCTTCAGACGTAGCGGCCTGATCGACTCTCGGAGCAACGCGCGGCGCCGCGTGCAAGCGAGTAGCGGGAACGACGGATCGCCATCTGACACGCCGAATACATCATTTGATCTACATTCCACGGCCTCGAGCGCGCCTGAATTGCAGAGGAGATCAGTGAATGCAGCTGGCGGTAAAGCCGGAAACGATGCGAAAACATCTACGAATGTCGCAGGCAGTAATGCGTTCTCCTCCGTTGCCGCGTCTGCTGTAGCCTGTCTCGCCTCGGTCCTCCTCGCCACCACCGCCATCACCGGCGTTTCTTCCGGCGGCGCCGTTGCGCCCGCTCTGGCCGAAGAGCCCGCTGCAGCCGCGTCCGCATTCGGCGGCGCATTCAGCGCTCGATTGGACAACCTCCTGCCGTTCCTCACCAGCGGCGGACTGAACGGCGCGATCGACGACGCTGACGCGGGCAATGGCGTGTACGCGGAGGAGCTGAGCGCGCTGGGGACAATGGGGGAGCTTGCGCGCGTGGCGGAGTTTGCCCCCGTGGGCGGAGCGTCGGTGGCGGAGGAGTACATTCGGCCGGGGCACCGACCGGACCTGCCCATGAGCAGCCGTCTGTTCGGCCCCGCGAGGCAGGCCGACGAGCCACAACAGGTGGGCGAGTAGTCGCTCAAGTAACAATGCAGCGTGTGCAATGCAGTGACGCGGCAATGCCGCAATTCAGTAACTAAAAAATGCAGCAATGCAGCAAACACAGCAATGTGGGTGGTGGGTTGTAGCAAGGTGATGCCTTGGCACGTCAGAAATTACAATGCAGACCCAAGGCTGACTCCGCCCATTTCCCCATCCACGCCACCCTGGAACCACTGTGCTTCTTTGTGCCTCTCTATACCCCACTGCGCCGCTCCGTGCCTCTCTGCGCCCCCCTGCACCTCCCCTGCGTGTACCTCCCCTGTCGCAGGTGCACATCAGCCTGGCGGGGCCTGGCGCCATGCGAGTAACATGGTTGACAATGGACGGTGCAGCACCTGCAGTGGTGCAGTACGGTGACGCGCCAGGGCGCTACACACACACTGTCACGGGCACCACCACCTCATACAGCTTCCTCTTCTACCGGTGAGACTCACCTGCACCATCTGGTCCGCACAGCCCACCACTCAACGTAAAGCCTCCTCTGAAGTGCCCATTTCCAGCCCTGTCTTGCTTGCACTTTCCCCCCACCTTCCACCCATTTTTCCCCTCACCTCTCTCCCACTCTCCCTTCCCCCACTCCCCCCCTTACCCCAACCCTTCTTTTCTTTCTCCCCTCAACGTCGCATCTTGGCTTGATCCACAACCGTGAGCCTCCCCGCAACACTACCAGCGCACAAGGTCCAGTTCCTCACTCTCTTCCTCTCTTCCTATGCACTCTGTCTAAATTTCAAACCATGAGCGTCCACCCACTGCCACCGCTGCCCCCACCAGGTCGGGGTTCATTCACACGGCGGTTATTGGCGGTCCGGAGCAGCCTCTCGCCCCCAACACCGTCTACTACTACCGCGTCGGCACAACGGACACCACCGCTGACGTGGCCCAGCCTGCTGCTGAGCCAGCTGACGTGGCAGCCGTAGGAGCGAGCAGTCCTGCCTCCCCTGCCACGCTTTCCTTTGTGTCAAATGCAGCGGGTAACGGCAGCAGCGGTGGTGTGGAGCAAGCGGGTTTGATCAGCAGTGGGAGGGGCATTGTGGGGAGTGGGTTCACGGAGAGGTCATTCAAGACCCTCCCTGCTGACCCCTCTGACTCCATCAACATCGCCATCGTTGGTCAGTGCCGCCCCTCTCCTGCATCTTGCGTGCCATGGCTTCCCCCAGCCACATCACGTAACATGTGTTGGACTACCTACTATCTGGTATTTTGGAGCTTCTGGGTGTACATTCACTCCCACCATGCACGAGAATGAACAGCATCCCCTCCCATCCCCTCCCACCCCTTCCCACCCCCTGGCATCTCCAGGTGACATGGGGCAGACGGGGTGGACGGTGTCAACGCTGGACCACATAGCCCAGCAGCCGCACGACCTGCTCGTGCTCCCAGGCGACCTCTCCTACGCCGACGCCTACCAGCCACGCTGGGACACGTGGCAGAACCTCATTGAGCCGCTTGCGAGCACACGGCCGTGGATGGTGATCCCGGGAAACCACGAGATAGAGAGCCTGCCGGGGCTGGTGCGGCCCTTCACGGCGTACAATGCGCGGTGGACCATGCCGGCTGCGGAGAGCGCGTCGCCCTCCAACTTGTTCTACTCGTTTGAGAGTGCGGGCGTGCACTGGGTCATGCTCAACTCTTACTCTGACTTTGAACCAGACTCCATTCAGGGACAATGGCTCAAGGTGAGGGGTGGGGAGGGCAAGGAGTGCTGCTTTGGGGTAGCTGTGAGAGGCTTCTTCTTTTCTCTTCTCTTCTTTCCTGAAAGATTTCCACCCACCTGCACTCTTGCTGTCCATCCTCGTGCATCACAAAATATTCCTCTCAGAATGACCTGGCGGGGGTGGATCGGTCGCGCACGCCGTGGCTGGTGGCGGTGGTGCATGCGCCATGGTACAACAGCAACACGGCGCACCAGCTGGAGGCAGAGCCCATGCGCCGCGCTCTTGAGCGCGTGCTGTACGACGCGCGCACTGACATGGTGTTTGCCGGTCACGTGCATGCCTACGAGCGCACTGTGAGACCCACAGTTATGGGTGTTTTACAGATACACTTTGGTTGTAATGGTGGGGCTTCGATATGTGCTTTTTCGTGGGGCTGCTCAGGTGCAGCATAGCAATCCCCTTTGACATAAGGCGTTCCTGTCGACACTTTATGCAACTGCACCTTTCTCCATGTTTTCCCTCGTTCCCTCGTTGCTATGCCGGCTGGCAGGAGCGAGTGTTTGACTGGCAAGTGGATCCGTGTGGACCTATTTACATCACCATTGGGGATGGCGGCAACAAGGAGGGCCTTGCCACCAGGTATGCATCGCACCGTTGCTGGCCCGTTTAAATGCTCGCAAGTGATATCTGTCCCAGTAAATATTTAGTGCACTAAACAGGTGGTGTAATACTGTCCCGCCTTCCCTCTGTACTGTGCGATTGAATGGGTCGCGTACAATTGTTGCATTGTCTCCGCTCACCACCACATTGCTAGTATATATCACATGATTGCACATGGATGTCAATAATACCTTCTCCTTTCTTTACTGCTCCCCACACGTACCAGGTACCTGTCTCCCTCACCAGAGTGGTCCATCTTCCAAGAAGCTTCCTTTGGCCATGGGGAGCTCAAGATCTTTGGGAAGCAAAAGCAAGCATCGGCTGAATCAGGAGCGGCAGGGGGTGCGTACGGGGAGGCAGAGTGGGTGTGGCATCGCAATGATGACGATGAATCAATGGTGCGGGACAGCGTGAGGGTTGTTAGTTTCGCTAGTGAGAAGGCGCCTGCTCAGTGCAGGCCTCCCACAGCTCCCAGCTATTAGCATCCCCAGTGGACAAGTTTATCGATTCCAAGCAAAAAAAGGCCAAGCAGTTTCATCAATAATATTAAATTGCCACTTATTTTAGCTTGTCAGATTGAGCCTGGAAGCCAATGTTAGGTTTCACATTGTTTTGTGATACTTGTTGCATGCACCTGTGAAGGCTGTGATCGCGACGGGCTCACAACCATACAATTATTACTGATCTACATACCAGAATGCGACTCCCAAGCCATATAACATCAAGGTGTAGAAAATGTTACGTTTGATCAGAATCTAGACATTTCAAAATGAATGTGACTGGCTCCTTCACCCATTGACTGACCTGGCTGCTCATTAAGGCCACGTATTCACGTCCGTCATTTCGCGAAAATGGACGCTCCGCTGACAACAGCTGACGAATCACTGACCTTACCCATCAGTTCCGTGACCCCGCGAGGAGGTGTCACAGCAAAACAATTGCGACACATAAGTGCGCGACGGAACGCAAATGACAACACGACGTGTCACGGGACGGGACGAGCCTCCTCCCCCTCCCCTCCTCTTCCTGCGCTCCATCATTCGTCAGCAATAAGCAGCAGGGAAGCAGGGAGGTGGCTTCTGGTATAAACCACGACCCGCAAATTCTGGGTGCTTGCTTGACATGCCTGCCCCATTGTCGTCGCTCGAATCGGGCTTCGATTGTACATATGCGTCAGCTGAACAGGGCTGTGTTGTTGAGCCATCACTGATTCGTTCGTAATATTCCTTGCAGCTCTCAAACTGCGCCCAAAATTCAGCGTTTTGATCGAAGCGTTAGTACGGAAAGCAATCACTCAGGAAGCTCAGACTAGTGAAGGGTTTGTTCCTTTGAAATCAGGGGGTCACAGGTAGTGGCAACTAGTGAAACTATGGAGGAGGATCACGGCAAACTTAGATCAGGCTCGTTCCGCCGGCGACGGGAAGCCATGCGAGTTTTCCACGCCATAGACGCGAATGGCGACGGAATGATATCTCAGAAGGAGCTCTCCGAGGTCCTGGAAAAGCTGGGTAATCGCAATTCAAAACTGGCGAAAACCATGATTCAGTCTGCCGATCAAAACGGCGACGAAATGATCGACTTCGAGGAGTTCCTGCAAGCAGCACGATTCAACCACCATGGCTCGTGTCTCTGCTCACCCGGCCACGCATCGGACTCGTCGGAAGAGAACTTGTCAGCGGCTTGCGAATTGGAGGAAGAGGAGGAGGAAATTGACCTAGTGAAGGCCTTCGCCGTTTTCGACAGGGACGGCAATGGGAGGATAGGAGCGGAGGAGCTTCAGCAGGCCATACGGGACCTTAGCGGAGAGACGCTGTCCGTCGAGGACTGCAAGCGCATGATCGCGCGGGTTGACTCTAACGGGGATGGCTTAGTCGACTTTGGAGAGTTTACCAGGATGATGGAGGGGGTGTTTGGATGAGCACTGCTGCTCTGGATGTTCCATGCTGCTCAGGCGCTAGGTTCCATTCCGTTGTTGCTGTAAATATGCTACTGGTAGTTATTGTGGCTGTCATAATTCATATCCTACCCTAGTACTTCGTAAGCTGCTCATGGTACCTTCAAATACATTTGAGATACCGTAGCTGTCATTTGCTCGTTCACATTCCAGTCCTTCCTGCCATCTACGGTACCCAATTTTAGAGAGCAGAGGGGCTCACTGAATAAGGTGAGGTGACACCAGTTCCACAACTGGCAGGAGTACGGTACAAAGGAGGTACTGGAATCCTCCCTCTTACCGTAACCCACAAATGATCCCTGTGATGGTCACAACATAGTCCACACTATAACTATGTTTCGAAAATCAGCCTGGGACTGTACCAGCACAGCACAGGACCCAGCCGCATTTCCAGGCACATGGGCCAGGCAGGCACATGCCCAGACACAGTATCCAGGCATTGCACTGGAGCAATGAACCACCAAGGCATGCCAGATCAGATGCACAGCAAGGCCCTCTGGCCCCTGTGACCATACCACCAAACCTTCTCAGACTCTACTGCCAGCCTACAATGCACACCACAGCATGCAGAAGGAGGGCGAGCCTAGAAAAGCACGGGGTGGGGTTGTGGTGTGGTAGGGTGGACGTCCAGGCATGCTGCACAGAGGAGCATTGGAGCATGGTGGAATGTTGGTGCGAGGAGTGTTGATTCCTGCAACATCGAGGCGCCAAGGAATGAACTGTGTGGGTGCTGCTCAGAAGATGGGGAATCTTCGGGTGGGTGGCTGCTGCGGCTGCTGAGGGTTCTCTTGCTCCTCACCCTGGTGTCAGGAGGAACGTGGGAAAACATCGGTGTCAATGCAAGCATTGTTTGCCTGTCATAATGCGGATGGGGAAGGGCGTGAAAAGGTCTGGGCAATGGCCTAAGTGAAATAAGGCTGGACAGAAATGCGGACAGCAGGGTGGGAGAAACCGGCGTGAGAACTGAATGGGGCACATGAACAACAGAATGGGCGTGTGCTTGAAGGCACAGGCATGCGAATGGAAAGTGAATTTGGTGGGTAAGTATGGGAGTGTACAAAGGAGGTGTCCTCAGCAATGCCGAGCGGCAGATGGAGAGGCACAGCACGGTTATGCTGTAACACTCGCAGCTTGCCCTCCTGCACGGATAAGTGAATGCAAAGAAATGGGGGAAGAGAAGAGGAGGGAAAAAGGGTGAGAGAGGGAGAGAAATGGGGCCGAATAGCTTGGATACGTAGATGCAGACGAGAAGAAACATAGTGTGCAGACTGTTATGTGCGTAGTGCAGGCGCAGAGAAGGGCTGTGTGAGTAGTGCGTTATGTGCATGCATGCCCATGAGCAGCATGCCTGGTTAATGTTCACGAATTCAGAACAGCGAGGCACGTGGGGGCTGTGTGCAATGATGCAACGAGCACTGTGGGGACCGAGAGGGGGATGACAATCACGAGAGAGGGGTGCAAGAGGAACACGAGAAAAACGTGAGCAGAGGTGGAGAGGATTGAGAGGATACCTTAGTGCCGTAGACCAGCCCCCCACCGACTTTAGGATGGAAACAAGCCACGTTGACCTGTATCAGTGGACAGGCAGGCATGCAGAGAGGAATGCAGGGAGGAATGCAGGGAGGAATGCAGGGAGGAATGCAGGGAGGAATGCAGGGAGGAATGCAGGGAGGAATGCAGGGAGGAATGCAGGGAGGAATGCAGGGAGGAATGCAGGGAGGGTCCAGAGATGGTAGCTTGGCAACGGAACGCCCAAACAGCTTACTTTGAGACGGAGTGGAACGCACAGCCTAGGAAAGGGTGTGAAGAGAAGGAGCCTAGGCAGTGAGGCTGGAAAGGGCCACAAAGAGACGATGCTTGCAAGAGTAAAGTACACTTGTGGATACGTGGTAGAGGGGAAGGGGGAAACGGAGCAAGGCTGAAAGAGTGCAAAAGAGAGCAGCAAAGACAGAGGTAAGGAGAGGGGTAGGGGGGCACTGGAAGGAACAATCGACAGGCAGGAGAAAGTGCAGGAGGAGGAGAAACCCTAAACCCTGAACAATCAAGATGACTGACCTCATCTTCCGCACTGGCAAGGATTTGCACTAGTGACATGTCAGAGACCCGATAGACCTGCATGCACCATGCACCCATGCACCACACGCCCATGCACACATGCACCCACGCATCCACCCACCCAGGCACCCACCCATCCACCCACCCACCCATGCACCCACGCCCATGGACCCATAAAGAATGAGCACATAGAGCCAGACAATCACAGTGCAAAGCAAGCCAAGGAGTCACTCACACACACACACGGGCAAGCACAATGCATGCATGAGAACAAGGGAAGGGACGGCGACAAACAAAAAAGGTGAGAGAAGGTGCGGGAAGACAAGCGAAGGGGAGGGATGGGCACGAAAGGGAAGGGACGGGGAGAAAAGGGGCCGGGAATGGACCTCGAGAATGGTGTAGACGGGGACGATGGAGGCCCCATCCGCTACCAGGCTGCGCAGCAGAGAGCCATGGCGTCGCCCGTATGCCAGCAGCAGATGGCAGGACGTGGGGGAGAACTGCCGCACGCAGGGGGGAGGAGGATGCAGGGCGGGCATAAGTGCCGGGGGGCGCGGCAGGGCGGAATGGCGTAGGGAATGGAGATGAGAATCAGAATAGGATTGGAAACAGGAACGGGAAGAAAACCAGGAGTGGGAGCGGGCGCGGGAGCGGGTGTGGGAATGGAAATGGGAACGGGAATCGGAACGGGAACGGCAAGGGACACTGGATGGCGGCAATGGAATGTGGGGGGAGTGCGGTTTGAGCGACCAGGGAGAATGAATGGCAGTTTGGACTTGAGTGGGTGGAGCGATGGGGTGTGGTGTGAGTGGAGCAGGCCGTAGGTTACCTGGATGGATGTGAGGCAATGTGCTGCTCGTATGGCTCGACATGCAAGGACTTGCCCGAAGCTGTAGGTTGAGATAAGGCACATATGGCAGGGACAGGGACAGGGGGCAGGGACAGGGACAGGGGCAGGGACAGGGACAGGGACAGGGACAGGGGCAGGGACAGGGGCAGGGACAGGGGGAAGCACAGGAGCATGGGCGGAGGAAGGGGGATGAAACTCGATGGCACCGTAACAACGCATGGATACTCCCACCATAACAACACACAAGATCGCGAATCTAAGAATGTGCAGAAAGTAAAAACAAAGGAATAGAGAACAGACGAGGAACCCGTTGACACACAGCAATACCAGCGAAAGAAAGGCGGGAACGAGGGGCAGTGCAGTGCAGAAAAGCGCGGGGAGAAAAGGACAAGTAGGGCAAGGAGCCAGAGCCGAGAGGGGAGGCAACGTACGTGGCATCTTCCAAGGAGTAGACCCTGAGCTCATAAATGACCTGATGCGCCACTCCCGCATTGCTGCTGCTGCTGCCCGCCCCTCCACTGCCCCCACCACGACCCCCCCCTGCTCCCGCCCCTCCCCCTCCCCTTCCCCCTGCCCCGTCTTGCTCCAAATTCCCGCTAGCTCCACTAGCCCCTGCGTCTGTGCCCCCTCTTGACCGCCGTATCGCATTGCCCCCCACTCCCCCTGATCCCCCCCCGCCCACTGCCCCCCCCCTGCTCCCCTGCGCAGCTGCGCCTCCCCCAGTTGCTCCCCGGGCATCCAGGTCGTTCCCCCGTGCTGCAGCAGCAACAGATGGTCCCTCCATCCTCCCGCCCACTGCTGCTGTGTTCCCAGCAGTGCCGGCGCCAGCAGAAGCAGCAGCAGCAGCAGAAGCAGCAGAAGCAGCAGCAGCAGCAGCAGCAGCAGCAGCAGCGGCGGCAGCTGCAGCCCCTCTTCCCGTCACCCAGGCTGCGAGTCGAGACGTGGCAGTGGTCACAGCTCCCATTCCCCCCCCCACGGCCAAACCCACCGCCCCACTCACCCCTGCCAGCCCTGCTCCAATCCCCCCTCCTGCCCCTCCACTTGCTCCCCTTCCATTTCCCAAGTCCCTGCTCCTGCCCCCAGCAGCACCAGCAGCACTCTCATTAGCGTTGGCAGCAGGTGCATCAACAGCAGCAGCAGTAGCAGTGGTGGCAGCAGTTGCAGCAGCAGCAGCAGTGGCAGCAGTAGCGGCAGCAGCAGTGGTTGCAGCCTCCTGAATCGCTGCCCCATCTGCTGCTTCGGCTGCCACTACCCCAGTAGCACCTGACGGCACCTCAGCCTCACCACCACCAGCGCCCACATCAGCAGCAGCACCACCATCCGTCCCCACAATGCGCGTGTCCCCCTGCCCCTGGCCCTGCCCCTGCCCCTGCCCCTGCCCCTGCCCCTGCCCCTGCCCCTGCCCCTGCCCGTGCTGCCAGCCAGAGTTCACTTCCAGAGGGGAAGGGCTGCGCCGTCGTTCCCCTGGAGACATGCGGGCTGCCACTGAGCTGTTGCTATGCACCGCAGCATCACCACCCGCCGCCCCTGCTGCTACACCTGCTCCTCCCCCTGCTACTACCGCCCCACCACCATCCCCTCCCACCGACCCCCCTCCTCCTCCTCCTGCTGCTGCCAGCCCTGCTGCCCCTGTCGCTCCTGCTGCTGCCCCTGCTGGTTCCGACGCTGCTGCTCCGAACCCCCGACCTTGCATCCCACTACGACCATGCACAGAAGACGCACGAGCAGCAGCGGTGGCCGCGGCGGCGGCAGAAGCAGCTACTGCTGCAGTGGCGGCGGCTGTGGTTGTGGCGGTAGCAGTGGCAGGGGTGTTGGTGGGTCGAGAATGGGAGGAGGGGTGCTGGTTGGTGGTGGAGGAGCGAGCTGCGGTGGCAGCGGCAGCTGCTGCAGCAGCAGCAGGCGGCACGCAGGCTACACAGGCAGCAAGGTAGCGGCCACAGGGAGAGAAGTGCGCACCCATTTCACTGGGGGAGGGGGGGAGGGAGGATTGACGATGAGAGGGCAGTAGGAGGGGTCGGAAGGGTTGGATGGAAAAAGGGCCAAGAGGAGAGGTAGGAGGTTGCAAAAAAAAAAAAAAATCGCGAATTGGAAAGGGGAAGTGGCATAACAGGAGAGTGTAGGCACATTAGTGTAGTACCTTGACCAATCACCTCGCACATCCCACTCCCATACATCCCACACACGTCCACACGCCCACACACCTCCGCTCATCAACACAGCCTCCCCCTGTCCCGCACACGCCCACGCACGTACCTGCAGAGCACGGCGTGCGGCACAGTGAGGCGGCAGCTGTCGGGGTCGAGGGGACTACTGGGGCGGCTGATGTGGTGGCGCCACACCTTGAGCTTCACCGTGCAGGGGATCTCCGGCGTCGGCTGACTCGCCTGCAGCAGCGGGTGCTGCAGCTGCGCCAAGGGAAACCGCTGCACCTGCTGCGGCGCTGCCTGGGGCTGTGCCTGCTGTGGCTGTGTTTGGGGCTGTGCCTGCTGTGCCTGGGCCTGCTGTGCTTGCTGCTGCTGCTGCTGCGGCAGAGGTGGCTGTGCCTGTTGCTGCTGCTGCGGCTCTGGCAGTGGCTGCTGCTGCTGCTGCTGCTGCTGCACCGCCATAAGCTCCTGTCCCACCTCTGCCTGTGCACCCTCCACATCTCGTGCAGCACCAGTGCTGTTGCCCCTGGTCCCCACGCTCAACCTTGCACCACCTGCCGCGCTGCCCTCTCCTCCCTCTCGACCACCACCACCACCATTCACATCAGCACCATCATCCTCTCTCCCCTCATCCACCCTCCCTTCTTGTGCGCTTGGCCTAGAGCCTCCTGCAGCCTGCTCTACTTCCGTTGCCGGGGCATGAGCAGCATGAGAAGCATGCGCAGCATCGGCATGCGACCCACGCAGACACACAGCGCACATGCTCTCTGTCACTGCCTCACATGCAGCATCCACCCCCCTCTCTGCTGCTGCTTCTTCTGCTGCTGCATCCGCTGCTGTATCTGCCACTGCTGCTTCTTCTGCTGCTGCACCCACTGTAGTGGCACCTGCGGCAGCATCTGCTGCTGTATCTGGCGCTGACCGTGCTGCCTCTACTGCCACTTCTGCCCCTGCTGTAACTGCATGACTCTGTGCTGTTGGTACACCAGCAACCACAGCGAGATCACCAGAACCCGACCTTCTACCTCCCAAATCCTCACCTGCACTGTCTGCTTCATGCCCCTCGTCCCCACTCACTCTCCCAACCCCTCCATCGCTACCCTCTCCCCCCCTTACTCCACTTCCTCCTCCAGTCTCTTCCCCTCTTTCTTCCCCGTTTGTCCCCCGTGGCTGGTCCCTATCGCTCTCCCTCTGTCCATCCCTTCCCGGAGCATCCTCACCAGCACCGCCGCCTCCCGCCACCTCCTCCCTATCACCACTCACAGGACCCATGTCCCTTGCCCTCCCTCTCCCCTCCATATCAGCCACGTCCGCAGCCACGTTGGCAGCCACGTCAGCAGCCTCAACCTCATCCCTGCCCTCAGCAACACTCCCACGCCATCCACTCCCACGCGCCTCCCCCACTATCTCCTCCCTCCTCCCTCTCCCTTCGCCTTCCCCCCTCCTCCCCACCACTTCCCTTCCTCCTGCCACCGTTCCATCCTGCTCCCCCCTTTCCCCTGGACCGCCATTCCCATCACCTGCTGCAGGCCTCACAGCATCATCCCCATTCACCTGTCCCGCACTCACATTCCCTACCATCCCTCCCCTTCCACTTCCCTCCGTCCCGCGTGCCCTCCCCAATGCCCCCACTCCTGCCCCTGCTGCCCCTGCAGCTTCCGCACCCAGCCCACCTGCTCCTGCCTCTCCCGCTCCCCTCCCTCTTGCCCCTCCCCCACCCCCGCCCCCAGCCGCGCCCCCCGCCCCGCCCGTGCCCCCTTCCCCTGCGCCCGCCATCCAGAACCAGCTCTGCCATTGGGCGAGGGGAAAGGGGGGCGTGGCGGGGAGAGTGACCCCCGCAGTGGCAGCAGAGGCGGCGAGGGTGGTGTCTGCAGTGGAGGGGTTGAAGTGGAAGGAGGGCGGCGGGTAGTGCACGTAGCCCGAAGAGAGTGCTTCTGTGGGCGTGCAATCTGCTGAGTCCAAGTCGTTCACCTGACAGGGGGAAAGGGGCGACGGGGAGGAGAGGGGAAGGAGGGGGAGAGGAGGAGGGGAAGGAGAGCAGGGGGGAAGCAAAGGGAGCCGGAGATTGAGAGAGAGAGAGAGAGCAGTAGGAGAGACGAGGCGAGCGGAGGAAAGGCTGCAAAGCAAGAGTGCGACCGTTGGAGAGAGGAGGAGCGAAAAGGAGCAGTGCAGTGCAGGGCAGTGCAGGGTGGGCACACCTCAGCGGTGAGCAGCAGAGGAGCGCCGTGCGGGTGGAAGTGCACAGCTCGCAGTGACCTGCGCGTGCGCAGCACCACACACGGCTGTGCCGCCTCTCCTGAACGCGTGTACTGCCATATGTACAGCTGCAGGGACAGGCAGGCACAGCACACAGACAGACAAGCACAGAACACACGCACAGCACACAGACAGACAAGCACAGAACACACGCACAGCACACAGACAGACAAGCACAGAACACACGCACAGCACACAGACAGACAAGCACAGAACACACGCACAGCACACAGACAGACAAGCACAGAACACACGCACAGCACACAGACAGACAAGCACAGAACACACGCACAGCACACAGACAGACAAGCACAGAACACACGCACAGCACACAGACAGACAAGCACAGAACACACGCACAGCACACAGACAGACAAGCACAGAACACACGCACAGCACACAGACAGACAAGCACAGAACACACGCACAGCACACAGACAGACAAGCACAGAACACACGCACAGCACACAGACAGACAAGCACAGAACACACGCACAGCACACAGACAGACAAGCACAGAACACACGCACAGGACACAGTCAGACATGGAGAGAGAGGATACCTAGAGCACACAGCGAGCAGACGGGAAAAAGGGAGATGACAGATAATAAGGTGCCTCAAAAGACTGCCTTCCATGGCCATGTGTAATGCCATATGTGCAGCTAATGGTTGCAGGGCGCACCTTGTGGCCGGACGCCACGGCAAGCAGGTCCCCAGACGCATGAAAGGCGAGCGATGCAATGGGGCGATCTGACACACACAGGGGGGTGGACAAGTCGGGAAAGCGCAGGGGGGGGGGGGGGGGGAGGGCAAAAAGGGGGGCAGGAACGGAGGGGAAATGCGCATTAAGGGATAAGAGGGAATCGTGCGGCTGTTGTGCTGTGAATGGTTGTGGGCACAAGGCAGGGGATTGCAACTAGTGGCAAAAGTACGCTTGCATGGGATGGCATGAGGCCAGCAAGGGGAGGGGCGAGGATGGGGAGGGAGATACGGAGCAAGAGGCAGCTAGGCGATGAAAATGCAAGGAAGGCGGGCAGGCGTAAGGCAATGGCAGGGCAAGAGCGTGCAGAGACGAGCGCGAAAAGGAATGGGAGCGGGAGTGGAAGTGGGAGGGGGAGCAGCAACGGGAGTGGGAGATAGGGTTGAGCAAAAAAACGAACACCTGTTCGGTTCGCCTCGAACGTGTTCGAGGCGAACCGAACAGGTTTTTTTTTTTGCTTAAAGTGTTCGCCAAACAGTGTTTGAGGTTCGCCCGAACACGTTCGTGTTCGGGCTGCTGCTGCAATTTGCCCCGCCCGAACACGCCTTCACAGGCGAACGGCGAACACCTGTTTTTGCTAAAAGTGTTCGCCGAACCGAACAGTGTTCGGTTCGGCAAACGGATGTGTTCGTGTAGGGGCGAACACAAACATGTTCGTGTTCGTCGTGTTCGCCCCTTGCTCATCCCTAGTGGGAGTTACATTGGGGCCAAGAGTTGGACTGGGAGCAAAGAAAGAGTGGGAGCGGGAGCGGGGGAGGGAGTGGGAGTGGGTGCAGGAGTGGGAGCGGGGGGCGGGTGGGTGGGGCGTACAGAAGGGGTGGAAGGCGATGCAGTGAGCGGTGTCGGTGTCCCACAGGCGCACCTCATGGTCCAGACTGCCACTCGCCACCACATGCGCTGTGCGCGGGTGGTACCGCACCTGCTCACATGCCATGGCGGGGCATAGCGTGGTATGGCACACAGAGGCGCATGGCATGGCAAGGCAAGGCTCAGTTCTCCCAGTTCTGAGAGATTGCCTTGGAAACGGTGCAGCGCGGACGGGAAGCAAAGAGGAACCAAGGGGTGCTGTAGCAGACCTATGGTGACCAGGGTACAGGTGCAAGAGCGAGAGTGCACGATGGTGGGAGCGAGCAGGGTCGGGGTGCATGGGCGCGGGGGCATGGCATGGGCGCGGGGGTATGGCATGGGCAGGCGCGGGGCCATGGCAAGGGCGGGCGCGGGGGCATGGGCGCCTGGACACGAAGCATACCACCCAGGGCGTGCGGCGGTGGCCTGTGAGCGTGCGCAGGCACTTGCTGGTGGCACAGCTGATGATCTTCACCGTGTGGTCGCCACTGGTAAGGCGCGGATGGGTGGAATGGGGTGGGATGGGGTGGGCACAAGACGGGGGAGGGGGCTGAGTGCATGGTATTCAAGGGTGAAATTGAGTGGCAAAGACTGGAGGGTGTCAGCCAATGAAGAGCGTTTTTGGATTGCATAAAGGTGAAGCTGGGGCGAACGATGGATGCATAAATGCGGCAAGGCAACACTCGCGTGAAGTTGCTTACTGTGTGGAGGCCAGGGAGGCGCCATCGCTGCTGAAAGCGGCGGCGATAGTGGAGCGCGGGGCAGGGTGCAGAGGGCAGTACTGTGCCGAGTAGCGGATGAGAGAGTCCCGCTCCACCCTGACACGTGGCAGAGTAGGGTTTTGAAAAAAAACAGAATGTCAAGTAACATGGGAGCTGGAAGCAAGGTGAGAAAGGCTATACGGGGACTTGGGTTGGGAATACAACGATACGCAAGCAATGCACAGAAAATGCACAGGCGAGGCACGTCTCCCACGGAGCAGTGAGCTCTCATCTCACCAGTGGGCCAGCATAACAGCAGCGTTCACCCGACTGCTGCCTCCACTGCCACCTGCACTACCCGCTGCTGCGCCCACGCCATCTGCCCCTTCCTCGTCCTGCCTAACAGCTGCTTTGCCGCCATCCGCCCTGGCAGCAAGTTCCGCCTCTGCCCCCACGGACCCCCGTCCTAAACCTCCGGCTCCTCCCCCACGGAGCCCACCCCCTCTGTCGCCGCCGCATCCGCTTCCGCCCCCCCTGCCGCTGGTTGCGCCGGTTCCGCCAGGCCCCGGCAGCGTGCGCGGGGAGTCGGTCCACGGGCTGCAGGGCGCGCGGCGGACGACGGGGCAACACTCGCGCAGCGCCAGGAGCTGCTGCACGTTGCGCGTGCGCCTGTCGGGAGAAAGGGACGAACGCAGCGAAGAAAACACGAGCAAATACACAATCACGAGAAAATGTGATCGGGCGCAGTGCGGAGAGGTCAGTTATGAGCTGGTGAATCGACGGCGGGGAGAGCAGGAATGAGCGCGAGCGGCGATAGGGAGAAATCTCGGCGGGGGATGACAGGTACGGAAAGACTGTGAGAAAAATAGGCCGGTGGAAACTGACTCCGCAAACACAAGGCTAGGTAGGTGACGAAACCCACAGCGCTCTGGACCAATTTGAGAAAAGCCAAGTTGCGAAACAACATACACATCCAACCCGCTTCCTCAATACCTCATTATTTCCTCCACAAACCCTTGCTTCACCCTTTCCCCCTCCTCCCTTCTCTCCCAGCCCTCTCCCAGCCCACTCCCAGCCCTCTCCGCCCTCTCCGTGACCGACTAAAGCCGCACGGACGTAGCACGCACCTTCGCAGGTGCGTACGATCCGCATCCGCAACGTTCGGCTGGCTCGATGTCGTCGGTACCGCGGCTTTTAACGACCCCCACCGGGGCTCCAGGTCTCCATCCACGCGATTCGCACCAGTGACCGTTGGATCCACCCACGCAGCTGCTGCCGTGGCTGCTGCTGTTGCTGCTGCTGCCTCGTCGGACTGACCATTCACTGGCCGCATCCTCTGAGCTTACGATTCTTCCCCTTTAGAGAAAACGGTTTTTTTGCGAAACTCCACCTTAGAGCTGTGCTAAATCCTTGTCACAATTCCTGTCCCTGCCTCTTTGTTTTCTCGAAAAAGGAAAAGAGCTCTGCTAGGCTTTTCCGAAAAGAAAAAGCAAGACGCCTGATTCGATCTGACGGTCGAGAATTCTAGTACGGAGATTTCTCTTGCCTCTCCAGCACGGTTCGTGCTCAAGTTCAATTTAGGTTGTGATCATCGCTCTCGGTTCCTCCCGCCTAATACTAACACCTCTCGGCCCATGAGATCGAAATAAAATGAGTCTGAAAGCGCAAGACGGGTTCAGAACGTAGGATCTTAACAGCAAACTTAACGCATTAACTAAAGCAAAAAGAGGATGTGTGCTCGACAGTAAACGCTGTGCGAGTAGCGGTCTAGTCTTCTAATCTCCGAGTCCTCAAGATTCGCGTGAACACAACACTGAGCGAGTAAGCGTTCGTGCTGTGTGTGGGTGGAGTCCGGCTGGAAGAATTTCAACTGCTCCGGTCTGGTTCAGTCCACGAGGCAGGCAGGCCATGGGCCATGGCATGACACCGTATCGAATGCTGCTGGTCATGAGATGGGAGGGATGCTGCTGGCTGGCGTGCAAGTGGAGTGAGCGGGTTGGTTGGCAAGGGAAACGGTTGGGGTCTGAGTGAGCTGAATGAACCGAAACCAGACACGACTACGTCACCCTTGGGATCTCATTTCGTATGTAACATTCCTCGTAGACACACTTGTAAAATACGTTAACAGGGGGGAATTTTTTATTTGAAAATATATGCGTACCGCCATGTTGTTTGTTTCCCAATCTCGATATTAAATGCAAACAACTCCTAAGAGAATGTATCAAACCAGCTACAACATCCGGCCATCACCGCAACCAACAAAGGTTGTTGCAACCACAACCAAGCCAGCAAACAGGATCTGTCACTCACTATACAACCCAGCAAAAGTTAGTCAGTAGGTGAAAACAGCGGGTCACTTCAAACTACATGGCACAAAGCAACAAACGATAAGTGTAAACGCTCATACCAAACCCTTGTTCTCTCCAGGCCCTGTCACGCTGCTGCTGCGAACAAACCCTGCTGCTCCACCAGACGCAGCAGAACGTGGGCGAGTGCCCCCCTCACCTCCCGCACCTCCTCCTCCTCCCCCTCCTCCAGCCGTTAAAGGCTCCATGCGCACATAGGTAGCATCAAAGGACGTTCTGCTCCGGGGCACCACACTGCGCAACGCAGACGACCACGACATGAGCCCTGCGGCTGGTACATCCCCCGTCGATATGCCATAGGTGGACGACACGCCAGTGTGGGCGATGGAGGAGGAGGAGGAGCCTACAGGGGCAGCAACCCGTGCAGAAGCCGCACCAGCACCAGCTGCTGCAGGAGATGCTTCTGAGTTAGCCCCACTGGGTGCGGCAGAAGGGGGGTCTGTTGCAGATGAGTCGGTGGTGGAGTGGAAGGGGTTGGTGAGCAGGCGCCGCCTCTCATCAGCCTCTGTGTAGTCAGAGAAGGCAGACGAGGTGTCACCGTCACAGCTGATGCTGTGCCTCCCAGTGCCCTCTGCTAGGTCACGTGGGCTGAACGCTGCTGCTGCCGCAGCTCCCTTGCCACCGCCAGCCCCACCCACAGCAAACGCACCAGCACCACCGGCAGCAGCAGCTGCGGCGGCGGCAGCAGAGCGAATGTCGCTGAGTTCGGCTTCCTTTGCTGCTGCAGCTGCTGGGTCCTCTGCTCCCTGCGTCCACCCGTCAATGATGGCTCGAATGGCGTCGTAGCTACAGGGAGAATCACGAAGGGTAGAACACGGCCGGAAGGAAAAATGAGATTCAGGTTAAACTGCGATGCCCTGCAACCGTTTGCATTAGAATGTTAGGACTTTAGGGGCATGCAGTGATCAGGGGTAAGATCCAGGAAAGGGGGCTCACAGATGTCAGCGCAAAATACAACGAGAGAAAAGAGGAAATAAGTTTCGTTTTTTAATGAACAGACATCATAACAGCAGCAGCAGCAAAAGGAGCAGCAGCAGTAGAAACAGCAACTGACGGCGTGTTGTGCATGACAACACAGCCACAGGCAGGCAGGCACGCACCCTGCAATGGATGTCTCAAACTGGAAGCTTCTGGTTCGCTTGCCAGTACCAGGCGGGGTCATGCAGATATCCCGACTGCCTTCTGCCACCTCACTCCCTTTCTCTGTCTCTGCCACTCCACCCACGCCTCCTCCTGCCGCTGCTGCTGCCGCTGCCGCTGCGGCGGCGGCTGCTGCTGCAGCTATCAGTTTCCTCTCCTCATCCCTTTCTAGGAGCACCACCTCCCATGTCTCCAACCCAAGCTCAACTGCTGCCACATCCTCAACACTCAGGGGAACCATTGCATGCTTACTCCCTTCCTGCTGCTGCTGCTGCTGCTGCTGCTGCTGCAGTTGCTGAGGTTCAACCCCTTGTTCTTCCCCAGGGCGCTCAGGTGCTCCTGCGCTTGTCCTTGTTGCAGCTGCTGATGCTGCTGCATTTAGCAAAGGATCAACTTCAGTGTCCCCACCGCCCACAACAGAAAATGGATGCGTGACGGTGCTTTCATCTGCGCTTGCTTCCGACTTATGCTGCTGCTGCGCCTGCTGTGGCCTGTGCTTGGAGGGAGCAGCAGCACGGGGAGATCCTTCAGGGGAGATCACAGTGGAGTAGCGCGGCTGCACCACCACAGGCGCACACAGCGTGCTCACAGCACCACCACCACCACCACCACCCTCACTCACCGCATCACCCTTACCATCAGCACCAGCATCAGCATCAGGTGCACCAGCAGCAGTGAGGTTGTGATTTGGAGAGCCATGTGATCCCTCAAGAAATTTCACATCTGATGATGCCGCCACTGGCGCTAGTAATACTCCTTCCTCTCCTGCCCCTCCCCCCTCTCCGGCAGCAGCAGCAGCATCGTCTATGGATGGCTGGGTGGACCCTGGAAAATCCGATTTCGAAAATACACTCTTGTTGGGGGTGCGAGGAGTGGAAGAAGCGGATTTACTCGGCCGTTTACCAACCCCACCCCCCTTAGCAGCGGCAGCACGGGTTTTGGGCGTGCGCGGCGTGGTGACGAGCACGGGGCGCTCGGGCACACGCCAGAGGTCAACAAAGTTGGTGCGGCGGATGCGGAAGGGCGCTATGCCGAAGTCAATGCATGCCGGCGAGAGCGTTATGGTCGCCGCCACCTGTCGAGGGGGGGGGGGGGAAGAGGGGAGAGGGGAGAGGTGAGTGGGGGATAGAAGTGGGAGAGACAGAGGCGAGAACGGCAGCAAAAATGTCATGTTTCACTTGCGCGACGTTGGTTACGGTCACAGCGGCAACAGTAGCAACGGAAACAAAGACCCTTCAATCTTGTCAGCTGAGGTGTGCTTATAGCGAGTGGTCGGCTTGGCACGCACGCGGTGGTTGGCGAAGTGAATGTAGCACGGGAGCCCGCGCAAGGACGCCGATCCTCCTGCACCTACTGCTACCGCCCCAGCGCTGCTGCTGCCGGCAGCGCGAGCAGGCGATACCACACTCGCTGGAGCTGCATCGGCGGCTGTAGCGGCTGTAGCGGCGGCAGCGGCAGCAGCGAGGGCGTCATCAGCCGGCACGGCAATCTGGAGCCCGCCGAGGCCCATCCGCTCCCGGAACGACCCGCTATTACTCCCGCTCGCGCTGCTGCTAGCGCTCGCGCTGCTAGCGTTGCCGGCGCTCGTGGTGGTGGCGCCGCCGCCACTGCTGCTGCTGCCATGAGCCGACGCGGTTTTACCGAGTACCCTGGCTGCTGCAGGCTTGGACGGAGATGGAACAGCAGCATCGGCTGCCGGCTTAGCGGATGGGCTTGTTGCTGTAACCGGAAACGGAAGGTCCGCCGCAGCAGCTGATGCCGCGGCTGCTGCTGCTGCTCCGTCACCCTTTCCGCCAGTCCTTCCTCCTCCGCCTACTGTTTTCCCCGCAGTCGTGGTGCGTCTGTTAGCTAGCATGCTGGCGGCTTCGAGCGTGCTAGTCTTAACGAACGACGCGAGGGCGCGGTCCGCCTGCTCTGCGTCGTCCTCCGCGCCTTCCGTGAGCGCCGCGTCGCGCATGTCGACGGCGAGCATGCGCAGCTGCTCTGGCGTCAGGCCATCCACGTCAATTCCGCTCCCCGACAGAGCGGAAATGCCCAGCATCATGCCGGCAGACGCGGCGGAAATGGCGGAAGCAGTGGAAGTTGCGGGATCGAAATGGCGAAAGCAGCTGAGTTAAGAGCTACAGTGGTAAGTTGCAGTCTGTCGTGCAAAGAGGTGAAGGTCGAGCTCGTCTAACAATGTCGAAAATTGTCAAAGCGGGTCCACTCCACTCCACATGTACGAGTCGCGGCTGTCAGAAAGGTAAGTGGCGGTCAAAACTGCTATCTTCTCAATGTAAGATGGAAGTGCAAGATTTGATGGGGTTTGGCTGGGATAGCTTGGTTGATGAGCCATGCTTTATGCGGTTGATTTGGGTCGAAATCTTTGTTTCTGGGTACAGTACCGCGCAGTCGGGTAATTCTCTGTAACGACTGGTTCAATCCATTGCAACCCCCAAAACGATTCGTAAAAATATCCTCGCGCCAGCGCACTGACGGACGGTCCAATCAGAGCCTTGTTACATAACTTGTTACAGTATAACAGATTGCGCTGGCAAAGCATTTGTTCGCACAGGCGTTACCGTCATGGGGATCTGCCAAGAAGTACTCAAACTTGTCGCCTCCTCGCAAGCCCATCGCGAGACGCGACAGAATAAGCGTAGCTTTGCGGTTGGGGGGCAAATATGTTGAAGCTGCCCGAGCGACCAAGACTGCATGGGGGCTAGGGCGAGTGTGGCAGTGGGCACAACACTAGCTGGTGGTGCTGCACCCACTGTACGAGCCTGGCGGCTGAAGCAGTGGGCGCTTTCCTTCCCCCTCATCCCCCACCCCCACTTTCCCTTTCCCCCCGAGCCTGCTCCCCCCGTCTGCATCCTGGAACCTCGTCACCATTCCATCCAATCACGCAAGCCACGACGCGTGACCTATCTGCAGCCTGGTTTGCCGAACCAGCACGCCATCACGATGACGACCTTGGGTTTTCCGCGTCTCCCAAAAACAAACCAAACCAGACAAGCCTGTTCTTTCCCGCAGGAAGCCAGCAGGAAGTTGACTCCCAGCCATCTCAAACTCGCTTTCGTGTCCTTGAATGCACTTTGACAAACTATCAGCTCCAGATTGCACCTCCAGGCATTATTAATAGCAACTGCGCGCTTCGTCTCCGCCGCCTATCCTCCGCCACCTGCTCGCATAGGATCTATTTCACTGCTTTCCCCGTCGCCTTCTTTTTGCCCGGAAGCCGCCAAAATCCGCTTGCCAGACGGCCGTAGGACCGTAACGCAAGGTATAACTTCGCTCTCGCTAATCGAACCCTGTTTCACCGTTAACTCCTAGCACTCCTCCGCAGATCTCCCCATCGCCAGCTGCCCTCCTGCCCCTCACCTTCTCCGCGTCTCCCCGCTCCCGTTGCACGCGGTTCCATACACCTAACCGAATACTCTCTCCGGCCGCATCGCAGGGGTTTCTGTTACTCTGTTTCAAACACCCTCAAGGGGCCAGACCCGCAGCGTCCCCATGGCGCCGTTATTGCCCGTCGCCGTGTGCGTCAGTCACCTCCTTCTCCTGCTGCTGTCCTCCTCGCACCACGCGCACGCGGCTCCTACAATTCACCCGTCGCAAGGTCTGGCGAGCCGCCCCGAGACCCTCACTTGATCCCTCGCACCAAAACTCATCCCGCTCTTCATGCTCGTTTCCCCATACCCTCCCCCGCCTCACGTTCCGCTTCCCCCCCTCTGGTTCCCTCACCCTTTCCACCTCTCCGCCACTCCGCCACTCCGACACCCCGTCACTCCGCCACCCCGCCACTCCGCCCATCCCCTTCCCCCCTCCCCTCATTCAGTCTCCGTGCTGCGCCAGCTGTCGTCCGCGTGCGGGCTGACGTACACCGCATGGGCGGAAGGCGCGGATTGCGCCAATGCGCCAGGACTGACGTGCGATGGCGCGGGGATGGTTCAGAGCTTGTGAGTGTCGAGGGGGGTGGGAGGAATGGCAGCAGGGTTGGGTGGGTTGGGAGCATGTGAGTGTGGAGGGGGGAGGAGGAACATACTTTTGCCTCTCTCGTCTTGGCGTATTCCACCTTCCCAGCTTTGGTCACTGTGTCTCCACTCCACTCCACTCCACTCCACTCCACTCCACTCCACTCCACGCCCTTCCCACTTCTGCCCAATGATAAGCCTCTCTCGCCCTCTGTCTGTCGTTGGCCCATCAGGTCGTTGTGGGATGCGGGCATGGAGTGCGTGCTTCCGAGTTACATCAGCGACCTCAGTGCCCTCACTTCCCTGTACGCGCACTCTCACTCCCTCACTCCCTCACTCTTAATCTCACGCACTCACTCACGCACTATCTCACTGACTCATGCATGCACATGGCCACGCACATCCCCACACAGCCACATGCTCTCTTGCTCGTGTGCATGCACGGATGCTGGCATTGCTTGCTCCATTCCCTCACCACAGATTGCTCATGGATACAGAATCCTTATAGAACAACCTCAAGCTTTCTCCACTTCCTCTTCACTGGTAGAAAGAAACCCCCCACCTCTCTGCCCCCTTCTAACCACTCTGCAAGCAATCTCGTGTGCCCCCGTGCTCTCTCACACAGCAACCTGAGCAGCAACGCCCTCATTGGCAACTTGCCCTCTGCAATCGGCAACCTGAGCCACCTCAAGTACCTGTAAGCACATCTCCTCTCCTCTCTCCCGGAGACGTGTCTCAGTTTTCTCTCCTTTTTGACACCTGTTGTAGTCGCATGTGCCGTGTCTTGCCAGTCACCTCACCCTCACGCTGCACTTACGTCCCTGAACCTGTCTTGTGTTGCATTGCCCGTGTGTCTTGCATTGCATATTGCCCGGTATGTTGGGCGTGCAGGGATTTAAGTGTGAACAAGATAACTGGCAGCATACCACTGGAGGTTGGAAACCTCTCCAGCCTTCTTTCCTTGTGAGTGAACGTCTAGTGTGGATGTACGCACAAGCTGTTGCACCCAGTACACGCGCATGACCAACTTACTTACCAACTAAGAGTTTGCTGCCATGACGTAGTGTCTGAAAACGTTTAGAGAAAAAGCATTAGTTCTATTTTTGAGTTGTAGAAATTCCACTTCTGAAGTGTGGCTGCTTGATTAAAATAACGCGGGAGTCATTTCCACCGTCCTTCCTCCCCTTCCATTCTCATTCGTGCCTTCTATTCCACGTGACAGTGACATGCGGTACAATCAGTTAACGGGGTTCATCCCCAGCACCTTGGCCCTCCTCTCCAACCTCACATACCTGTCAGTCACACATGCGCCTCCTCCACTCTTGCTCCTCCCGCTCTTTCTCCTCCCACTCTTCCTCCATTCGCTCTTGCTCCTCCTGCCTTGGCTCCTCCCATTTTCCCTCCTTTTGCTCTTGCTCCCCCTGCCTTTGCTCCCCCTGCCTTTGCTCCTCCTGCCTTTGCTCCTCCTGCCTTTGCTCCCCCTGCCTTTGCTCCTCCTGCCTTTGCTCCCCCTGCCTTTGCTCCCCCTTCCTTTGCTCCCCCTGCCTTTGCTCCCCCTTCCTTTGCTCCCCCTGCCTTTGCTCCCCCTGCCTTTGCTCCCCCTGCCTTTGCTCCTCCTGCCTTTGCTCCCCCTGCCTTTGCTCCCCCTGCCTTTGCTCCCCCTGCCTTTGCTCCCCCTGCCTTTGCTCCCCCTGCCTTTGCTCCCCCTGCCTTTGCTCCCCCTGCCTTTGCTCCCCCTGCCTTTGCTCCCCCTGCCTTTGCTCCCCCTGCCTTTGCTCCCCCTGCCTTTGCTCCCCTTGCCTTTGCTCCCCCTGCCTTTGCTCCCCCTGCCTTTGCTCCCCCTGCCTTTGCTCCCCCTGCCTTTGCTCCCCCTGCCTTTGCTCCCCCTGCCTTTGCTCCCCCTGCTGTTCTGCACCCATGATCTGAGGAATCCCCCTTCCTCATTCCCCGTCCCCCTCGTTCCCCATCCCTCGTTCCCCATCCCGTGTTCCACCTGTGACTCGTGCTGCGTGATTCGTCCATCACAGCGACCTGGCTGGCTGGGGTCCACACACGAGTCCCCGTCCAGCACCCTCATGGCCTGGTCATCCAGCTCTCCACCCTTTGAGGCGCCTCACAGGCGCCTCAGAAGATGTTTCTCTTACCCTGTGCTGTGATTCTCTGATGCTCTGATTTGTTGATCACATCACAGCGACCTGGGGTCCACACGAGAGTCCCCATCCAGCACCCTCATGGTCAACCAGCTCACCGGTCCCATCCCGCCCAACCTCGGCACTCTCCGCAACCTCACCTTCCTGTACGCCTCCCATTCATGCTCACTCTCCCACTCACTCACCACCCATCCACTCACCACCCATCCACTCACCACCCATCCACTCACCACCCATCCACTCACCACCCATCCACTCACCACCCACTCACTCACCACCCATCCACTCAGTCACCACCCACTCACTCACCACCCATCCACTCACCACCCACGCACTCACCACCCATCCACTCACCACCCACTCACTCACCACCCATCCACTCACCACCCACTCACTCACCACCCACTCACTCACCACCCATCCACTCACCACCCACTCACTCACCACCCACTCACTCACCATCCATTCACTCACCACCCACTCACTCACCCACTCACCCCCATCTTCCCACCTCCTGTACGCTAACACTCACTCTCCCAATCACCCACGTACCGACTCTTTGATTTTCCTCCCCCCTCCATTCTCAATGCCCCCATTCCGCCCGTCTAACACTTCTGTTCCCGCCCTCCTCTTGTCGTCCCTATCACGTCTTTTCGAAGTCATTTTCTCCTTCCTAACGACTTATTGTCCCCACCTGTCCTTCCCGTCTCGCTCCCATTCTCCTTCCCCTGCCCCACTTTTGTCCTCCTCCCTTATCCTCCCCCTGCCCTCCGCCTGCCCTCCCCTCCCCCCCCGCCTCCCTCCGCGTGTGGCTGTGCACTCCTCCCCGCAGAGGGTTGAGCAGCAATTTTCTCAACGGGTCCATACCAGCCAGCCTCGGCAGTCTCGCCAGTCTCTCGTACCTGTCAGTCACCACTCACCTCCTGCTCCTGCTCCTGCTCCTGCTCCTGCTCCTGCTCCTGCTCCTGCTCCTGCTCCTGCTCTCCCCACCAGCTCTCCCCCCTTGCTTGCCGTTGCCGCAGTCATGCGTAGTATTCAATCTGGTCCAGCCCACCGTCCCACACCCGAGCCACGTATATCCCCTTGCTCTTCGCACCACCTTCTGGGTGTGCTCCCATCCATCCCACCGCAGGGACTTGAGCAGCAACCAGCTCAATGGCACCATCCCTGCCGCTATTGGCCGCATGCGTAGCCTTAAAGTAGTGTGAGTGCAATGATAGGAGTGGGGGAGAGGAGGAGGAGAGGAGGGGGAGGAGGGGGGAGGGGGTGATGAGGGAGGGCGGGAAGGTATGGCTGGCTATCATGCTGCAAAGTTGATTCACTTGCTTCTCTCTTGCTTTTCTCGTGGGCAACCATTGAATTTCCAAATGTAAGCAGTTGTCATCGCCACAACTCCTCCTCACCTCATTTGTCAAATCAAATTTCATTCTTCTCTCTGTTTCTCCTCTTCCTGTCTCTCCTCTCCGTCCTCCTGTCCTGCAGTGACCTCAGTGATAATTACCTCTATGGCCCCATTCCATCCTCTATTGGACTGCTCTTCAATGTCTCTTTCCTGTGAGTCCTGTAGTGCTGTGCTATGTGGCTCGGTTCTGTGCTGTGTGATGTGGTGCTATGCGGTGCTGTGCTGTGCTAGTTACCAGTCCGCCCGCGCTTACTGTCTGTCCGTCCACCCTGCCACACAGTCATTCGCCGCCACAAACACACCCACTCATCCACAACTTCACATGACATGTGCTCACATGTGCAAAACTCTAAGTCATGCGCATGTGCTCTGTCAAGGCTCTTAAACTTCACTACTATTCCATATACAGTCCCTTTCCTTCTCCCAAACGCCAAACCCTTCTGCGTTCCCCTCCTTTCTCTCCCTCCCCCTCCTTCCCCTCCCCTCCCCTCCCCTCCCCTCCTCTCCCTCTCTCCCCCTGCCCCCAGCAAGCTCGCCTCGAATGGGCTGAACGGCTCTCTGCCGGCCACGCTCTTCAACCTCACACAGCTCGTGCATCTGTGCGTGCAACGCACCTCACCTCTCTTTCTTTCTCGCCCGCCACCCCCTTGCCTGCAACCTCCTTGCCTGCAACCTCCTTGAGAGATAGCTGCTTCATGACTTAGCTACCAGTGCTCTTTGTCTTGCACACAATTCTAACGGTGCTCTAGCAAGCCTGCTCGGCGATTATTACGTGCTTCCCGCCCCCTCCTCCTGCAACCTTTCACTCTCCCCTCACATCCTTTCTTCCAACCTCTTCCCCTTTTAATCCCCTTACCCCCTCTCTCCCGAACTCTCCCCCTTCTCTTTCTCCCCTTTCCCCCTTTTCCCCCCCGTTTTCCCCCCATCTCCCTTCCTCTCCCCTCCTATTCCCGTCCTCTCGCTGTGCATGCACGTGACCACCAGCGACGTGGGGTCAGTGAGGAAGCGGTTCTATGCGGAGAGGCAGAAGAACCGCTTTCAGGGGCCTCTGCCTGCTGCCGTTGGCAACCTCACTGCACTCACTGCCTTGTCAGTTGTCCCTCCACGCAGTTCCGTGCCATGCCATCCATGCCGTGCCGTGCCGTGCCATGCCATGCCATGCCGTAACCATACCATACCATACCATACCATACCATACCATACCATACCATACCATACCATACCATACCATACCATACCATACCATACCATACCATATCATACCATATCATACCATCCCATACCATACCATACCATACCATACCATACCATACCATACCATACCATACCATACCATACCATACCATACCATACCATACCATACCATACCATACCACACCACACCACATCATACCATACCATGCCATGGCACCCACACACACATGGTCTCAAGCCATCCCATGCGTGTGTCTCACGACGGCAGGGGCATGAGCAACAACCTTCTCTCGGGCGCCATTCCATCCTCCATCGGCCGCCTGCTCTCCCTCGTCTACCTGTGCGCCCATGCCACCTTCCCCTCCCCTTCAATTTGATCTTCACAAAGTGACTCTACTCTACTCTACTCTAATATAGTCTACTCTACTCTCCGCCTCGTGACGTCTCACTCGTCGCAACCCACCTCTGCCGCTCAACTCGCCTTCTCTCCTCCTACCTTTAACTGCGTGCGCGGCTCGTTTTCCCGCTGCTTGCGTGTGCCAGGCCATGTCTGGTTGGCACATGCCTGTAGTGTCCTATCGTGCGCTACCAAGCACTTTTCATCCATATACTCCCCTGGGTTTGTTTCGCACACCCTTCTTCTCCCTTTCTTCACATGCCATGCCATGCCATGCCATGCCATGCCACGGCAGAGACCTACACAACAACATGTTCAACGGGTCCATTCCAGATTCCATAGGCAACTTGGCACAGCTCAAGACGCTGTAAGCCCTGCCGCAGCTGCGGCCACCATGCACACCATGAGTTCCACATTGCAACTATTCACCCTTGCAGCCATTCGATCTATACTTCAACACCATTGCTGCCACTCTCCCCCACTCCACCTCCACCCTTTCCCCTGCAACCCATGACCCTCGCTTCGGACTCAGTGTTCCACCTTTCGGTTCCTACTCCTCCCCCACTGTGCAGCTATCTGGGCGGCAATGAGCTGTCCGGTTCACTGCCGGCATCCATAGGCAACCTCTCCAACCTGCAAGTGCTGTGAGTCGCTGCCTGTGCATGAGAGGGGGGGAAGGGGTTGGGGGGAGGGAGGGAGCAAAGGCGGAGAGGGGGAGGGAGGAGAGGGGAGGGTGTCTCCACCAAAAAGGGATTGTTGTTTCGAGGAAATGAGAAAGGGTGGAGAAAGACGCTTCCCTCCAGGAGTCCCACCTGTCTGCCTGTCACGACCCACCTGCCATGCCCTCCTTTCCACTCTTTCCCTCCGCCCTGCGTCACCACGCAGTGCTCTGCGCAGCAACGGTCTCGGCGGGTCACTCCCCAGCTCCATTGGTGGCCTCGGGAGCCTGGAGGAGCTGTGAGCACGCCCCTCGCCTCCTCCCCTTATCTGCTTCTCTTCCCTAATCAATCCTACCCTTTCAGTGCTCACGCTCAGCCTCCGTCACTTGCTCGCCTTCATCGGAAGTCCCCTCTTTTTCCTTGTTCCTTTTGCCTTTTTCTTTGCACTGATGTTTGCTCCTCCATGCTGTTATGTTGTGTTGTATTATCTGTCCCTCCTCTCCATGTATGTAGGGAGCTGCGCAACAACAGCATACAAGGCCCCTTGCCACCCACATTGGGCAACCTGATCACCCTCTACTCCATGTAATTATACCCACCTACACTTACTTTTTATAAGTTGGTATCGAGTTCACAGTTATGATAGTATGCAGCCATAGTCTCCATAGTGTGGCTGCAAAGAAATTTGTTACAGCTGCTTGCAAACAAGGGCAGCAGTTGGAGACTTTGCCTGTTCTTCCCGCCGTACCTTTTTTCTCATGTCACCTTCCCTGTATTCCGTTTGAAATAATGTGTATCAGGAGCTTGGACAAGGCGGTGGGGTGTCCCAATGTTGACAAGTGTGATGTGAAGCAGTATCGTGGATCAGAGTTCTGTGATCGATGCATGCAATTCTGCACAATTTGCCCGCAATGTGAGTGCACTATTTCACCAGTATATATGCCACATTTCCATGATTGCATATGCTCTTCCCTTACGTCCCAGTTTCATCCGATATGGTAGATCCACAATATGTCTATGAACTTTTTTTCTGGTGTGATTGTTTTCCTCTGTTGCATGCAGACAATAGTGGGTGCAGCCGACCTCCAGCACTTGTTCTGCTTACAAGCGCACTGTTGATGACTTCATGTTTTTTTCTGTTGTGAAAGTGGGGCATTGTTAGGTTCCAATTGTACCGTATTAACCGCAAGCTGCTCTGTATGTAATTGAGTGCAGCTTTTCTATTCTTGTAACCCGGTTGTCTACAAGGTGAAACAATCTTACTCAAACCGGCGGTGCATTTTGCTCCACACATAGTAATCTGACCAAGGGAGCAGAATATCCTACAGTATCCAGTTTCTCCTATGCCACTCAATTCTTATGTTGGGATTGTTTTCCTCTGCTGTATGCAGACAATAATGGGGACAGAAAACCGCACCGCACGCACTTGTTATGCTTACAAAGACACTATTCCTTAATGCTGTCCTTAATTGTTATTAATGGAACTGTAAGGATTTTTCTCGGCATTCCTTACGGAGCCCGACTACATCGCGTACAGCAACAGCCGTTGTTCGCCTGTTACTGCTAACGGAACTTCGCCGACTTCGCGCGCACTGTTTCACCAAACCTCGCACTGCTGGCCCGGCCGTATCAGCCTACGCTTCGGGACTAGCCCGAGCCTCGCTGCCAGCATAGCACTGGCTAGCTCGCACGCACCGCGTCACCGTTTGCATGCTTCGCATATAAATGTTCGCTCATGCCTTCGTTCACGTCTTTGTACTCGTTTGACACCTTAGTGCAATTCTCGCTACTTAGATTCATTGCACCCGTAACAGGAACACTCTTATAGCACATCAGATATCGCTTACTGTAATGTAATCAAGTGCATCTTTGCTCGTCTCGTAACCGAGCCGTCTACAAGGCGAACAACTTTATTCACATCGTCACTCCATTCCTCGAGTTCTGTTTTATTCGCTCTCATCCATCAGTTCTCCCTCCAGTTTCCCCACACGGCTCCCCCCATCGATCTTCAAGGATCGATCTTGCCTTCAAGAATTCAACCAGCTCAGGACGCGGTGAAAGTACTCGATTGGGGGCAGATCGATTCGGTCACCGCACTGAACCCTGCATTTTGGACAAGAAAGGTACACAACCTTTTATAACCGCGCTAAAAAGCGATCCTTTGGCGATCGATTCTCCAGTTTCACCGCGTCCTCAGCCGTGTTGCTTCTTTCCCTCATTTCAGCACAGCTGTCTTCCTTCCCTCTGTCCAGCAGAGCTATGGAGCTGGGTTCCCCCCACTGAGATGTACCATGCACTGTTCATCGCTGCGAGCTCCTTCGAGTCGAGTCGAGCCTCTCTCAAAGCGACTGCCTTTCCCATTCCCGGAAGGGCATGTGAAGGATATTTTGCCGCGGTGTGCGGGACAGGGAAAAGAAAGAAACTGTGCATCAGCGCGTGATCAGCAGCACTCTTCATCGTTCGTCCTTTCCGAGCAACCGCTTCGCCCATCCAAGGGGAGGTGCAAAGATAGCGCGATGTGGGACCTCCCTTCCCATTGTTGGCTTGCCAATTGTTGGGCTCCCATTGGGGGAGTAGAACTGTACTCATGTCGCCCGCTTCAAGCGGAGCCCGCGGCTCGCTTTATAACCGCCGCGCTCCGTTCGCCGCGTCATGATTTTTTGCCGACGCGTTGCGTACGATACGACGCGACTCATCCATGCTCCGCCTGACTCCGCACGAGCGATGATCTTGCACCCGTCCCGTCCCGTTCCGAGCGTCAGTAGCACCAGACGAGGTAGAGACCATGATTGACTCTCGTCAGTTCCTTTCTTTCACAGTGGCGTCTCAAACGAATTTCGTTTATTGGGTTTCTTCTTTTTCACGTCACCAGACCACGACTCGACGGATGGGTTGAGTTAACGGACCACAGTGGTACCATCACCACGTGATGCTCACGAGCCATGTGAGAAGAGAGTGACATACACGCACCGCTGATGTCACGGCGCGTGATGCCGTGGGCGCCGGTCGCGCTGTAACTGCGCCGGGCGCTTCTTTTGAGGCGCCTCGAAAACCGGTCGCGCTGGCACTGGCACTGCGCCGGGCGCTGCAGCGGCAAGCAAAGAAAGAAAGGCACGCGCGTGACCCGGCGAGTGGACCCACGTTGACCGTCGTCGCCGGAACCTTTCCTTTGCCGCCGTCAAACGTTGTGCCCCGCTGGCGATGGCCAAGAAAGGCAAGGCGCCTGGCTGCTCGCAAGCAGCTGCGGAAAGGATTTTCTTCACCTTTCCCCCCGAGCCGCGCCGGGACGGGCGCGGCAACGGCGAAGGCAGGCAGCTTATCGGACAGAGTTCCCATGGTCATGGTACGATTGTAGATAAGGGATTGCCCGAGAAGCCTGGTTTTGTGAATCAGTGATTGGCAAGACAAGACGGTTGTCGACAACAGCACCATCGCCGCGCGCTCGTTCTTTTCTTTACAAGTTTTTATAGCGACCGCGCCACGACCAGTGATATAGTCTCGCGAGAGGAGTGGAGTGGAGTCGACTCGTGTATTACCTGCCATGCTCGTCGTCCCATACAGTCTTTACTTCGGCACCACTAGGATACCCGTGCCTTGACAAACAGCTATCGGACGTGGCAAGAGGATTTTATTCAGCCGTGGGGCTCAGGCAAAGGCTCAGGCTAAGGCTCAGGCAAAGGCTCAGGCTAAGGCTCTGGTTCAGGCTTATTCAAACGTGCTGACTCGGCGCCAAGGACACGATGGCGCAGTGGAGGATGGCTCTCGTTTTTCTCTCTGTTCTCGCCCTGCTCGGGTTGCACTACGGGCTCGTTCGCCCAGCAGGCGCCATGTATATTTTCGAGGAGTCTCAAGGTGATGTGATGTGCTGCTACTGCTGCCGCTGCCTGGCGTTTCTGTCATCGCAAGGCTGTGCGTCATGCTACTCCTCGTCATGTTGAGATGCAGCTCCAATCTTAATATCTTCAGAAAGAGATGTGTATGATGGACTTCAGACCTTAATAGAGTGTGTACATGCGTGTGTGTGTGTGTGTGAGTGTGTGTGTGTGTGTGTGTGTGTGTGTGTGTGTGTGTGTGTGTGTGTGTGTGTGTGTGTGTGTGTGTGTGCCGTGCATGTGAGTGACGGCAGGAAAGGCATTGGAGGAAGCGAAGACGGAGTGGGGGTTGACGTACGAGGATTGGAAGGTGGGGGGAGACTGCAACCGCGCGCCATACGTCTCGTGCGATGAGGACGGCTTTGTCGTTAGCATGTATGTGCTCTGCTTCTCCTGCTCACGTGCTTCTCACTTGCCTCCCACTTGCTTCTCACTAGTACTGCTAGCTACTTTGACTCGGTTTTTGCGTGCGTTATTCGAGGCGTCTCAGAAAGTGACCTGCACTGCACGTGACATGTGACAGGGACAGCTACATGCTATAAGAAATTATCAAGGTTTAAGTCTTGTTTTTAGACCTGAATCTTAAACGCCTATGCTGATTTGGATTCACTTTCTCTTCACCTCCTTTGCCCTCCGCACACCCCCAACCAAACCTTCCCCCCTTGGGAGCACAGGTCCCTGACTGTCGGTGTAACTGGCACCATACCCACTGCGCTCTCTGCCCTCACTCGCCTTCGTTACCTGTGAGTCCCCCCCACCTGCTCCCTCCCGCCCGCCTTTTCTTCTCTCCTCTCCCCGCCTCCTCTGCTTTCCAGCATGAGAAGTCGCAGACACCCTGCCTTGACACCGTGCGTGCATGGGATACGTTGTGTGGTATGGCATGGATGGCTGGCATGTGGCGTTGCTCGGGTGGGGATGCATGGAATGGAATGCACGCGTGGCATATGGGATGTGACATGTGTGCGTATGTGATGTCATGGATACAGGGACTTGAGCAACAACGGACTTTCTGGGTCCGTTCCCGGTGCTCTCAGCACCCTTACCAGACTCGCCTACCTGTGAGTGCTGCACTGGAACTGCAACTGCAACTGCAACTGCAACTCTCGCATGATCGTACTGCACTTGCCTTGCCAATCTGCAGTGCCCGCACTCTCCTGAGCACCCATCACAGCACCACCACCCCCTCTTAGTCGCACGTCGACTACTCGCACCTCTTCTGCTCTTGTTGCAGTGGGCTCGCACCTATCTGCTGTGAGGGATGGTGCGGCGGAATAGACTGAAAGGAGCTGCTCCGTTGGTGTATGTGCGAGGGGCCTTGCACTCTCCTTCGATTTCTGATTCATCTGGCAATGTGCTCTCTGCTCTGCATGGCACGCACTGGGCATGGCATTGCACGGCATGGCGCGGTATGGCATGGCACGGCATGGTATGGCATGGCACGGCATGGTATGGCATGGCACGGCATGGCGGCACGGCACGGCATGGCATCGCATGGCACGGCATGGCATTGCATGGCACGGCATGGCATCGCACGGCATGGCATCGCATGGCACGGCATGGCATTGCATGGCACGGCATGGCACGGCATGGCATCGCACGGCATGGCATGGCATGGCAGGTACTTAGAGCGCAACGCTTTATCTGGCCCCTTCCCGTCAAGCCTGTGCCGGCTCCCTATCCTCGAAACCCTGTAAGTCCATGGCGCTTGCCATCTGCTCATGCGGATGGCATGGCATGGCGTGGCATGGCGGTATTCTTTTGCATGGTGTGGCATGGCATGCGGTGTAGTTGGTTGGATGGGATGGAATGGAATGGGCTGTGACAGTTGCAGTTGTTTTTGCGAGTAGGAAACGATGGCCAATGAAAGCCTGTAAGGCGCCTCAGAAGTATGCACGCATGATATGCTTTTCAGTCGCCAAGCACTTTTGAGTCGACTCATAAGTCACCTATGCTTTTCAGTCGCCAAGCACTAAATCCCTCCCCTCCTCCCTCACGCCCGCCCGCCTGCCCGTGTGCCCCCCTGCCCTGTGAACGGTGCAGGTGGCTGCACCACAACTCGTTTGACGGCGCTCTTCCCGAAACCATCTCCGACCTCTCACAAATGAGAAGCCTGTACGCACACCACTTCCCTTGTCACTCATGCCCATCCGCACAGTGCTGCCCTGCCCCCCGTGCCACCCCTGCTGCCGTCCCTGCCATTCCCCTGTGAACCGCCTCACCCTCTCAATGGCCAGGAGAATTTGCTGCAGGAGGAGCCGAAACAGCAATCAGCAGACGGGTTTAGGGAAGGCTTTGAGACGCTGACTTGAATCGACCATGCCGCCACATGCGGTGCGGTGTGACATGCTGTGCTGTGCGGTGCTGTGGTGTGGGGTGCTGTGGTGTGGGGTGCTGTGCTGTGCAGGAACCTGGGGACGAACAAGTTCACGGGACCGCTCCCGAGCACCATCAGCAAGATGGAGGCACTGCAGTACCTGTGAGCCACCCCCGCACTCTCATGCACAGGCAGGCACGCACACACACAGGTAGGCACACAGGCAGGTAGGCACACAGGCAGGTAGGCACACAGGCAGGTAGGCACACAGGCAGGTGGGCAGGTAGGAAGACAGGTCGGCAGACAGGTAGGCAGGCAGGCAGGCAGGCATGCAGGCAGGTAGAGAGGCAGAAAGGGAGGTGAGCAGACTCCTTGTGCGTTCATCACCGTCCACCCTTGTGACCCTCCCACCTGTCCGTCCCTCCGTGCCCCTCGTAAGCCCACGACAGAGAGACTAGCTTGCTGCACGCACCGTTGCCTGTCCTGCTGCGGCAACTTCCCAACACGCCTTGTGTGTGCCTTGTTTGTGCCATTTGCAATGTACCCTTGGGGGACTGCAGGTGGTATGATATCCAATAGTCGAGAGCCACTCCTCAGAATTCTCAAAATCAGCATGTCATGTCATGTGCCTTGTGTCTTGTACCGTGAGTGGAGTGCAGGGTAATACCAGATAATTCTCTGGACGGCACTCTCCCTTCAACCATCGGCAGCCTGCCCTACCTCGCCATTATGTACGCTCTTCTGTATTCTCACCTCCCATGTGCCCTGCTCAACATGCTTCTCTCAACACGCTTCTCTCAGCGCGCTTCTCTCAATACCTGCCTGCATGTATCTCCTCTCCTGTCCCTCCGCAAACGGTGTTCCGTACTCCACAGTCGCATCATTGCTGTGCTTGCCGTGCTTGGTTGTTGCTCAATGCCTATCCAACCACTATGAAACACAACCTCTCCTATTCGCATCGCCGATTTGAGTGCACGTTGTTAGCTCTCTAGGCACAACTCGCCCTCCCACTCTGCGCGTTGTCTCCCGGGCCTGGTTCTGTTCTGTGCTGTGGCAGTGATTTGAACAACAACAAGCTGACCGGGGAGCTGCCGACATCCCTCGGCAACCTCTTGGCGTTGCAGTACCTGTCAGTGCCTGCCTTGCGTGCGTTTAGGGTTTAGGGTTGTAAGCACCTGCTCGTTCATGGCCCATATGGGTGCAAGTCTTCATGACCATGCTGCATGCCTGTGTACTGCATGTCTGTGTGCTGCATGCCTGCAATCCCAGGCCTTTTTTCCAGAGCATGCCACATGCATGCCTCGTCCTGTTTCAGATGCAAATCAAATCACGGCGCCAACTCCCTCACGCACCAAGCATCCTGTTTCTATCCCCATCCTCATCTGCTCTCTCCCATTCCCGACCCCTCCACCTCTCACCACGGCACAACAGTTACCTGCGCAACAACCTGCTCACAGGATCCCTCCCAGATGTCTTCCAAGGCCTCCCGCTCTATCACCTGTGAGCCCTTCCCCCCTCCCTCCGTCCGCTGCGCCGCATTTCAAGCTGCCTAATAAGAGAGGCGTGTAAACAGTCGCCTGCAGCTGCCATGCCCTGTGCCCTGTTCCTTCCTGTCCGAGAATACTCGCAAGTCCAGTCAAAGGTCTCGAGCCAGAATCCTGGTAGCTATGCCGTGTTTCTCCTCAAGTCAAGGTAGTCGGGGTTTCCAGTTCAGGCAATTCCACTCCATGTGTAGAAAGGCGCTTCCACTCCATGTGTAGAAAGTAGATTTTTGAGATGTCTCAAAAGGCGCTTCCACTCCGTGCCTGCCTCTCCTGTGTGTGGTCTTGCAGGGACTTGAGCAGCAACCAACTCACGTCGTCGCTGCCCACATCCCTTGGCATGCTCCCTAACCTTGCAGTCCTGTGCGTGCACTCTCCTCCCTACTCTTTCTTTCCTCCCTCCTGCCTCCTCCCTCCTTCCTCCCTCCTCCCTCTTCCCTCTTCTCTCCTCCCTCCTCCCTCCTCCCTCCTCCCTCCTCCCTCCTCCCTCCTCCCTCCTCCCTCCTCCCTCCTCCCTGCTCTCTCCTCCCTCCTCTCTCCTCCCTCCTCTTCCCTCCCTCCCCACCCCCCCCTCCTCTCCCCTCCCTCCCCACCCCCCCCTCCTCTCCCCTCCCTCCTCCCCCATCCCGCCTCCCTCGTCCCTGCTCTCTCCTCCCATCTCCTCATCTGTCTGAAGCGCCTGAACCGTGTGCGCCATCCAGCCTCGTGGGCCCTGTGCGACCGTGCCCCTTGCGCCGTTGCCTTCGCTTGCCCTTGTCCAATTGCCCTTCTCCACATGCCCGTCTCAACTTGCCACCCTTCTTCAAATGCCCTTCTTCAAATGCCCTTCTTCAAATGCCCTTCTTCAAATGCCCTTCTTCACATGCCCTTCTTCAAATGCCCTTCTTCAAACGCCCTTCTTCAAACGCCCTTTTTCAAATGCCCTTCTTCAAATGCCCTTCTTCAAATGCCCTTCTTCAAATGCCCTTCTTCAAATGCCCTTCTTCAAATGCCCTTCTTCACATGCCCTTCTTCAAATGCCCTTCTTCACATGCCCTTCTTCAAATGCCCTTCTTCAAATGCCCTTCTTCAAACGCCCTTCTTCAAATGCCCTTCTTCACATGCCCTTCTTCAAATGCCCTTCTTCAAATTCCCTTCTGCAAATGCCCTTCTTCAAATGCCCTTCTTCAAATGCCCTTCTTCAAATGCCCTTCTTCAAATGCCCTTCTTCACATGCCCTTCTTCAAATGCCCTTCTTCACATGCCCTTCTTCAAATGCCCTTCTTCAAATTCCCTTCTGCAAATGCCCTTCTTCAAATGCCCTTCTTCAAATGCCCTTCTTCAAATGCCCTTCTTCAAATGCCCTTCTTCAAATGCCCTTCTTCAAACGCCCTTCTTCAAATGCCCTTCTTCACATGCCCTTCTCGACATGCCCGTGGAAGTGATTCTTAGTGATCCGTGTCATGGCACGCGTTTCTTTCCGAACCCACAGTTCTTTAGTTCACTGCTGACCTTCTTTTTCTCCCCCACCCCCTCCCCCCTCTCCTTCTCCACTGGCGTGCAGCGATCTCGGCCACAACCAATTTTCCGGGCCCTTGCCTTCCACTATCAGCGGCCTTGCAAGCCTGCAGGCAATGTGAGCACGTGATGTGATGTGAGCACGTGATGTGATGTGAGCACGTGATGTGATGTGAGCACGTGATGTGATGTGAGCACGTGATGTGATGGTATCTTGAGCATCTGATGCTCTGTGCATGTGCGTGTGTGTCTGCACGCGTCCTTGCTCGCATGTGTCCGTCTGTGTGTCAGTGCACATGCATGCACAAGCACACGTGAATGTGCGCATGCATGCATGCATGCATGCATGCGTGTGCACGCAAAGTCTTGTATGCCTGCCTCACTCATATGAGTCACAAAGTGCTTCTAGCTCGTGATGGTGCTTGCTTCTAGCTCGTGATGGTGCTTGCTTCTAGCTCGTGATGGTGCTTGCTTCTATCTCGTGATGGTGCTTGCTTCTAGCTCGTGATGGTGCTTGCTTCTAGCTCGATGTGTTCGGGTGCATGTGTCTTGGTGTTTGAAGTTACTCATTCTCTGGGTGCTTGTGTGTATGTGTGCATGTATGCAGGTACTTGCCATCAAATCAGCTCACGGGCCCGCTTCCAAGCACCATTGGCAAGCTCTCCTCTCTTTTCCTCATGTATGTATGCATTCATGCTGCCTTTCTAGACCTTTCGAAAGCTAGTCGCATCCGTGTACGAATCTATGCTGCCCTGAGTGCTAGCCGTTAACTTTAGACTGCAGCTCCTCCTAGCTGTCCACCCCCTGCTGCAACTTTCATCCATCACTTGATCGGGAGGACTCTTTACCAAGCACAGGCATGGTGTGCACACCATGTCCTGGTAGAGTGGAGTGGAGCGCACACCATGCATGAAACCCTCGTCTTGCCGATGTGCAACCATGGGTGCAGGCATCTTGCTCACAACCAGATAGACGGCGCCATCCCCAGCACCATCAGCGCCCTCACCAACCTCTGCCAGATGTGAGCTTCTCCCACTTGTACCGCCATGCTCCATTCTCTTTCTGTCATGCTCCATTCTCTTTCTGTCATGCTCCATTCTCTTTCCGTCATGCTCCATTCGCTTTCTGTCATGCCCCATTCGCTTTCTGTCATGCCCCATTCGCTTTCTGTCATGCCCAATTCGCTTTCTGTCATGCCCCATTCGCTTTCTGTCATGCCCCATTCGCTTTCTGTCATGCCCCATTCGCTTTCTGTCATGCCCCATTCGCTTTCTGTCATGCGCCATTCGCTTCCTGTCATGCCCCATTCGCTTTCTGTCATGCCTCATTCGCTTTCTGTCATGCCCCATTCGCTTTCTGTCATGCTCCATTCGCTTTCTGTCATGCCCCATTCGCTCGGTGTCATGCCCCATTCGCTTTCTGTCATGCCCCATTCGCTTTCTGTCATGCCCCATTCGCTTTCTGTCATGCCCCATTCGCTTTCTGTCATGCCCCATTCGCTTTCTGTCATGCCCCATTCGCTTTCTGTCATGCCCCATCGCTTTCTGTCATGCCCCATCGCTTTCTGTCATGCCTCATTCGCTTACTGCCTTGGCCCTTGTATCCTGTTGGGACCCTCCTTTCCTCACCTCTCCTACCATGTTCATCCCTACCTCCCCTCCCCTCCCCTCCCCCCCCCCTCCCCTCCCTTCCCCTCCCCTCCCTTCCTCTCCACTCTCTCCTATCCCCCCTACCTCCCCTCTTCACTCCTCTCCGTTCCGCTCTCCCCCCCTTCCCATCCCTGTCCCGCCTTGCCCCCTGGGCCAGTATTCTCAATGCCAACGCCCTCAACCAGCCTCTGCCAAACGCGTTCAAGAAGCTCACCGACCTCAACACCCTGTCAGTGCCACTCTCACCTGCTCTTGCACCCTTGTATTGCGTCCTTATGCGTGTCTGTGCATGTATATATGGGGAGTCCATGTGCTGACCCGCATGCTTCCATGTGCTGACCCGCATGCTTCCATGTGCACAAATCATGTCTGCTGTGTGTGTACCCCATGAATCAATGTATGCGTGTGTGCACATGTGCATGTGAGTGTGCAGGAGGCTGGAGGAGAATGAGTTGCCGGGGTCCATCCCAACCAGCATCGGCATGTTAGCCTCGCTTACCGCCCTGTATGCTCTCCTCTCCCTCGTTTACCGCCCTGTATGCTCTCCTCTCCCTCGTTTACCGCCCTGTATGCTCTCCTCTCCCTCGTTTACCGCCCTGTATGCTCTCCTCTCCCTCGTTTACCGCCCTGTATGCTCTCCTCTCCCTCGTTTACCGCCCTGTATGCTCTCCTCTCCCTCGTTTACCGCCCTGTATGCTCTCCTCTCCCTCGTTTACCGCCCTGTATGCTCTCCTCTCCCTCGTTTACCGCCCTGTATGCTCTCCTCTCCCTCGCTTATCGCCCTGTATGCTCTCCTCTCCCTCGTTGACCGCCCTGTATGCTCTCCTCTCCCTCGTTTACCGCCCTGTATGCTCTCCTCTCCCTCGTTTACCGCCCTGTATGCTCTCCTCTCCCTCGCTTACCGCCCTGTATGCTCTCCTCTCCCTCGTTTACCGCCCTGTATGCTCTCCTCTCCCTCGTTTACCGCCCTGTATGCTCTCCTCTCCCTCGTTTACCGCCCTGTATGCTCTCCTCTCCCTCGTTTACTGCCCTGTATGCTCTCCTCTCCCTCGCTTACTGCCCTGTATGCTCTCCTCTCCCTTGCTTGCCGCCCTGTATGCTCTCCTCTCCCTTGCTTACCGCCCTGTATGCTCTCCTCTCCCTTGCTTGCCGCCCTGTATGCTCTCCTCTCCCTCGTTTACCGCCCTGTATGCTCTCCTCTCCCTCGTTTACTGCCCTGTATGCTCTCCTCTCCCTCGCTTACTGCCCTGTATGCTCTCCTCTCCCTTGCTTGCCGCCCTGTATGCTCTCCTCTCCCTTGCTTACCGCCCTGTATGCTCTCCTCTCCCTTGCTTACCGCCCTGTATGCTCCCCTCTCCCTCGCCTCCTTCAACTCCCCTCTTCGCCTTTCTCGCCTGTTGTGATCTCAAACGCCCTTCTTGTCTCACACGCCCCTCGTTGCATGTGATGCGGCCGTTGACAGGCCACCGCCATCTAGTCACTGTCCTGTCAACCCACAACCTCAGTGTGGGCCCTTACATCACTTGACTCTTCTCGTGCAACACCATGCCACACAATGCCATCTCATGCCACGTCGTGAAGCGTTATGTCACACCATGCCACACGCACACTGCCACATCATGCCACATTATGCCACACCATACTACATCATGGCACACCATGTCACACCATCCACCCTCATCCATCATCTTCTCCTCATACCAATCATCCCATCATCCCCGTTCCCTCAACTTCTCGCTGCAGCAACGTCAGCTTCAACCATCTCGAAGGAGCCATTCCCTCTACCCTTGGCGGCCTCACTAATCTCAATTTTCTGTGCGTCTCCTCTCTTTCGAACCCCTTATCTCTCTACTGCCTACTTCTTCCCTTCTTCTTCACTTCCTCTATCCCCACTCACTCCTAACTCCATGTGTGCTTCTCCTCCTTCAACACCTCCTCGCCACCCCGTTTTGCTCACTTCTTCGCTTCCATTGTAGCACCTACCCATGTTTTTTGCTCGCATGCGTTGCCCTGTGCTCTGTATTTCATGTTTACCTCTCTCCTGCGTGCTCCTTGCCCTCTCTTGCATCTTCCTCGCTCTCTCCTCTTCCGTGTTCCTCACTCTCTCCTCTGTGTGCCTCAAATTTTCCTCTACACTCCTCACTCTCTCCCACTGCTCCAATCCCATGCCTGCAGGGACCTGACTTCGAATGATCTCACAGGAACGATCCCTGCCACTCTGGGGAACATCACTTTCCTTGATATCCTGTGGGTGCAAGCAAGCTACGCCCTCGCATCTCAATCTTTAGAGTTTTAACACAAGTTTTCATCGCAAAACCTCTCCTCTGTCCTCACCATCCCTTCATCCCCTCGTTCCGTCGTTCCTTCATCCACGCACTCATCCCCTCGTTCCCTCCCTTTTCCCCTCCCTTGTGCATGCAGCGGTTTGGACACTGGGGAGGTGACATGTGGGGCGGCGGGTGCCAGCTGCGAGGTGTATCAGATCTCCTGGACTGCCTTCTGTCGCCTCTGTCCTGAATTCTGCTCCTCCTGCACCGAACCCCCTCCTATCAGTCAGTTCTTCCTCTCCTTCACTCGTGCATCCATGCATCCAATTCTCCATCCGCCCGTCCTCCATCCATCCATCCCTTCGTCTCTCTAACCTGTCCTCTCTCCGCCTCGCCCCCACCCTGCTGCCCCTCGTCCCCCTTCCGTCCGCCCAGTTGACAAGCCAAACAAGCCATGCAAGAAGAGGAGAAGGGCGTGTCCGCGCAAGGCATGCCCCAAGGGCAAGCGCTGCAGGCCCTTTGTCCGCAGCTGCAAGGGCTTCAAGTGTGTGTGACGTGGGGTGCGCTGTTCATGCTCCTTGGGCCCGGTCCATCCCCATTGTACATACCCGTAGTTCAGGTTTTTTTATGTGGCTTAGGGCTCTGGTGTGTTGGGGTGAGGTGTGGGTAGTTGCTTGTTTTATGCAGTCTACATGCTTGCTTGGGCAGGTAGTTGCGTGCAAAGTGGAAATAAATAGCTTCTCTGGTTTTCCCGTTCATTGTACATAGTGGCTTACATAGTTAATAAAATTGTGTCTATTGCTACACTGCTGTTGTCTGCAGTGCATTTAGGTATCCTGGCTACACAAACAATGCATCCAGACCAAATCTGGGCCCATGTCTTGGGCCTATCAGCAAATGCCACGTGCCATAAACCATATAAACCCTGCATCAGCACTCAGACGCCTCCACGCTCGGCATGCTCCTGGGATGGCAGTATAGACAGCTCCTCATCCAGAGTGCACCCCTTTTTGAGGCGCCTCAAAAGCCACTGCGCCCCGAATGCTCATGGGATGGCAAGGCGGAGGAGGAGGACAGGTGCATGCCACTATGCTGCACGGCAGACATGACGAGCATGTGGTTCAGAATGGACAGCTCCTCGTCCAGAGTGCGCCCCTGCTCCTTCAGCCCCTCCATGAACGCCCTATCCACCTCCTCTGCACTCTCCTGCAATCCCACATCGCTCACCATCCCGCCTCCATCTCCCTTTTGCTTCCCAGGCGCTTCTCCTGCTGCCCCTGCCAATTCACCAGTTCCTGCTCCTGCTCCTACTCCGCCAGCCCTTGCACCAATGCCGTCTGATAGCTCCAGCGCACCATTCTCCTCATCCTCTTCGTGAATAACCCTCCCCACAACACCACCACCACCAGCACCACCACCAGCACCAGCGCCACCAGCAGCGTCACCAGCAGCGCCTGCATTCCCATACCCCTTGCGCCCCCCACTGCTATCCCTCGTGCCCTCCAGTGTGCCAAAGAACTCGCGCTTGAGCGAGGAGAGGGAGGAGATGAGGGAGGCCATGGAGGGGCGCGAGGCCGTGGGCACGTGCGTGCATGCCAGCCCCAGCTCTGTCAGCGCCCTTGTTAGACGGAGCTGCTGTTCCCGGCTGTGGGTGCTGCTGGGGAGGGTGCCTGGCGGCTGTGCTTGTAACGAGGGGTCTAGCAGTGGTGTGAGGTCGTCGGCAGCTAGGAGAGGGGCGGCCTGACAGGGTTGTGCAAGCAGAGGGGGAAGGGACGATGTGATGAGGTTGGAGAGTGCGGAGCATAGAAATAACAAGGGCAAGGAGCGGCACGGAGGGTGCAAATCACTACATGCCCATGAGCACCACGGAATCCCACCCCAGCACCACTTTAGTGACTTTTGATTGGGTTCAAGACTCACCCAGTCCTTGATGTTGATGCACTCTGTGCCCAGCAGCACCACCGGGCCTCGCCCCAGCACCACCTCCAGCATCACCACTCCAAAGCTGACTCGCCGGGAACCGGGGGACAGGGTGGGAGGGCAGGAACGGAGAGGGGAATAGTGGGGGACACAGTGTGAAGAAGGGGGATTCGGTGGAGATGTTGGGAAGGCAAGGGGAACGAGAGGAGGGCAGGGAGGAGTAACTTGAAACCGAAACCGCTGGAGTGGTCTTGTATGCGCTACGCACCTGTATACATCAAGTGATGGAGTGGCCTTGTGTGTCTTGTAGTAGACAGGGTCCACATAGCCCGGTGTGCCCATCACTCGCGTGGACCCCCACCCACCACCACCACCACTGCCGCTGCTCGTGTTGCCAGCGCTGGTGGTGGTGGTGGGGCGTCCCTCTCCCAGGCGCAGGAGACCAAAGTCCGACACCTTGGCCTGTGCCACATGCATTCACGGTAGGGCGAGGGGAGGTGGGGGGCGAGGGCGAACGGAAAAGTGGGGAAGTTGTGAGAGGGGGTGGCGTAGCAGGCCATAGCAGGCAACAGCAGCAGATATGAGACGTCTGAGAACAAGAGAAAAGGAACAAGTGCAGGGTGAAGGGAAAAGCAGGAGGAAAGGTGGGAAAAGAAAAAGAAGATGCATCACTTTATGCACCTGCATGTTGGTTCTCATGGCACACCCATCACCGCCTGCACTCACCTGCATGTTGGTTCTCACCTGCACTCACCTGCATGTTGGTTCTCACCTGCACTCACCTGCATGTTGGTTCTCACCTGCACTCACCTGCATGTTGGTTCTCACCTGCACTCACCTGCATGTTGGTTCTCACCTGCACTCACCTGCATGTTGGTTCTCACCTGCACTCACCTGCATGTTGGTTCTCACCTGCACTCACCTGCATGTTGGTTCTCACCTGCACTCACCTGCATGTTGGTTCTCACCTGCACTCACCTGCATGTTGGTTCTCACCTGCACTCACCTGCATGTTGGTTCTCACCTGCACTCACCTGCATGTTGGTTCTCACCTGCACTCACCTGCATGTTGGTTCTCACCTGCACTCACCTGCATGTTGGTTCTCACCTGCACTCACCTGCATGTTGGTTCTCACCTGCACTCACCTGCATGTTGGTTCTCACCTGCACTCACCTGCATGTTGGTTCTCACCTGCACTCACCTGCATGTTGGTTCTCACCTGCACTCACCTGCATGTTGGTTCTCACCTGCACTCACCTGCATGTTGGTTCTCACCTGCACTCACCTGCATGTGTGCATCCAGCAGGATGTTGGCGGGCTTGATGTCGCGATGCACGATGCCAAAGCTGTGGAGATACTCCAACCCGCGTGCTGCTCCGATCAAAATGTCCAGCCGCTGCTGCAGGGTCAGAGGGGGTTCTGATTGTTGCACGGGAGAAGGGGAGAAAGGGCAAATAGCAAGGAATGGAAGATGCGGACATGAATGATGTAGGATTGCTGTGCGGCAGGTGGCAGGCGGCAGGCACACATTGGGAATTCTAAAACGCGCATTCACTCGTGCAGTGAGACGAGGATGTTTTTGAGAATTCTCAAAAACACCCTACTTCACTTGTGCAAGGAGACGAGGACACTACACTACCTGCCATTGCCATGCATTCACTCGTGAGTGATATCTATCCACTCGTGATGCATGTTCACTCGCAAATTCATTCACCCACCTGTCCGCATCCTCTTAGCGAGGTCGCCCTGCCCCATGAACTCGTACACGAGGATCTGCTGCGGCCGCTGTGACCCCACAACCACGCTGTTGCACCTCTCTCCCTCGCTCCTTCGCTCTCACCTGTGCGCATGCGCTTAGCAAGGTCGCCCTGGCCCATGAACTCGTACACGAGGATCTGCTGCGGCAGCTGCGATGCAGCATCCACGTCGTTACAGAACCCCAGCAGCCGCACCAGGTTGGGGTGGTGTTTCGTCGCCATCTGGTCCACCTGCACTGGTGGAAGGGGGACAGGTGGGCTGCTGCACACGCCTTAACTCCATCAGCTTTGTGGCGAGGGGTAAGAGTGAGCGGAGGAGCAGCACTTGGGAGGGCAGGAGGGACATTAGGCGTTAAAGAAAGAGAGTGCTATTCTCCTATTGAAACCCTCCTGCCTCGCTCACCTCTCGTCTAAAGTCCACACTGATGATCCGAGCGCGCTTCACCGCCCACACCATGCCCGCATTCCCAGGGCACACCCCCCGGTACACGTCACCAAACGCCCCGCTGCCGATCTTGCAATCGGGGGACCAGCACTGCGTGGCGGCCTCCAGCTCACGCAGAGCAAACTGGTGGAACAGGGGCGGCGCGTCTGTCGACCCGAGGGGCGTCACTGGTTGGTATGGGGCAGAGCTGTTCCTGCTGCTGTTATGCTTGCTGTCGCTGCCGCTGCTGTTTGTCGCCTCCAGGGATGGCTTGGCTGCAGCCATTGCTCCTTCTCCTTGCCCTGCTGGATAATGAAGGGGGGGTCAAAATAGTACGTTGGGACTGGAGGTGCGTTGGGACTGGAGGTGCGTTGGGACTGGAGGTGCATTGGGACTGGAGGTGCATTGGGACTGGAGGTGCATTGTGGCAGTGGTGGTGGTTGTGATGGTGATAGTGGTGGTGCGTGGTGGCTGGGATAGTTGGATGTGTGGCGCCAGGAACAGACTATTAGCTTACTAGAGATGCGCGAAAGGGCAGTGCGGAATGAGTGATGCTGTAGGCGGAAAGAGCTACTAGAGTTGACCTGAGGCACGAGCTCCGACTTACTGCCAGCAGGAACACAAGCCCACACCTATGCACACGGACAACGCACCTGCAGTTGCGTGTGGGTCCAGAAATGGCTGTGTGGAGGCATGGGACGCGCCTGTGGGGTAAAGTGCAGTCACACAGGGCGCACAAGATGCAGGAAGGCCACAGCAGGGAGGGAGGTGAGGCTGAGAGAGAGTGATCGAGAAGGCCCAAAGGATAGGACAGTGGGAGTGGGAGATGTGGTGTTAGCGGGAGCAGGAAGAGGAATTCGAACGAAGAAAAACAGATACTACTGTGTCATTGACCAAGATAATGTTTAAAAAAACTCTTTGAAAGAATAGAAAGAAACTATCAGTGACACACCCACCAGATGGAACATGCTGCTTCTTCTTCTTGCTTCTCCACCAGCAAAACCCAAGCACCAGCAGCACCACCACCACGCACACCGCTGCTGCTGCTACCCCTGCCACCACTGCCACTGAAACCCCTCCACCACTGCTGCTGCTGTTGGTTGGAGGCACGGATGGGGAGGAGGGGAGTGGAGGAGGAAAAGGAGGAGGAGTCAAGGAGGGATTGGTCGAGGGCGAGGGTTGGGATGGGAGGGCAGGTGGTGAGAGAGAGAGCTCGGGAGGAGGGGAAGTGGTAGGTACAGGAGGAGAGAGAGTGATTCTGGGAGGTGGAGGGGAGAGAGAAGGTGGAGGGGGAGAGGGTTGAGAGATGAGGGGAGGGAAAGCTGCTGCGGGCGGGGAGCGGGGGACACGTGGTGGTGGGAACGCGGGCGCAGGGAGAGGGGAGCGGGCTGGGGGAGGGGGCCTTCCTGCAAAGGTGAGCGGGGCAGGACAGGGAGAGTGAGAGGGTGAGAGACGCAGGGAGAAGGAGGAGAAATATTATATACAATTCTTGAAAGGGGCTGAAACTGAGGTGGAAGAGGAAGAGCGAGACCGACCGTTTGAGAGGGAAATGACAGAGGGAGGATAGCAAAGGGGTGTGATAGGTTGGCATTGCGTGGGTGGCAGCGCATGGGATGTGCACTGTGATCCGAGGACGGGGGGGGGGGCAAGGCAGCACCAGGGGAGGGCAGCACGAGAGGAGAGTAGCACCAGGGGAGGGCGTGCAGGAGGCGCAGAAGTCGGGGCATTCGAGGCAGAAGGCGGACATGGGGTCCTGCTTGAGCTGGCAGGAACCGCCGGTGGGACACGTGACGTTGGAGTCGTAGATCGAACTGGTCAGTCAGTGGCACGTGGGGACATGCAGGGGGCGTGAGAGAAGGCATGAGAAAGGGCATGAGAGAAGGTATGAGCAAGGAAGCAGGGATGGCGGTGGCATGGACGAATGGCATGGCATGGCATGGCATGGCATGGCATGGCACGGGAGGGCGAAGCGATGGAAGGAGAGGTGCACGCGAGGCAGAGGAAAATCGAGGGGGACAGGACAGGGCAGTGGAGGGAGGCAGGCGGGCAGGCAGGCAGGGGGCGGAGCAGCAGGGAGGTAGGCAAGGGGCCAGGGGGGGGGGGGGCTCACAGGGTTCCGAGGGGAATGCCTCCAAGCACAGGTGGTACCACGCCAGATAGCTGGTTGCCTGATATGACGTCCCTGGGAGGAGGTGAGGGGGGGGGGAGGGGGGGGAGGGAGGGAGGGTTAGAAAGGGGGTCCAAGAGAAAGGATGGAGCCACACCACACAGATTGACCAGAAAAGCATTCGTGTCGTCGCTCCATCTTCGCCGTATCTTCTCCTCCCCCACCATTCCTTCCTGGTGAACCCTTTTTCTTAACCCCATCTGCGCCCACTTCCTCGCATTCCTCACACGCCTCATGGTGGTGCACACACGTGCATGGAAGGGAGGAGAGCAAGGAGGCGAGGAGGCAAGCGCGGGTCACTCACAGCGTGGAGAGGTGGTGCAGGTTGCCGATCTTGGCTGGCAGGGACCCGTTCAGTTGGTTCGATGACAGGTAGCTGCGTGTGGTGATGTGATGGGAGGTAGCAGCACGAGAGGGAGGAGGGGAAGGGAGGGGTGCAGGGGAGAATAGGAGGTTGGTATGTGCCTGTGAGAGCGATGAGTCCAGGAATTTGCCCAAGGCGTTGCAGAATTTCAAGAGAATCCAGGAAGTCAAGAGATTCCAGGAATACGATAGTGGATCCAGGTGAAGGAAAGATGGCCGAGGGAATAATAAAGGAAGATGGTAGGAACAAGAAGTAGGGTGGTGGTGGGGAGGTCACGAGAGAAGAGTAAAGAGAGTGAGAGATAGAGAGAGGGCGCACAGGTCATTGAGTGTGGTGAGATTGCCAATAACCGCAGGAATGCTGCCAGTAAGCCTGTTGTTGCGAAAGTTGCTGCAGCGGGAAGAGGGTGGCAGGGACGAGCGGAACAGGAGAGGAATGCAGGCAGACACAAGAAATAGAACGAGGAGGCACGGTAAGGAATGCGCTGGGCATTGATGCATGCAGACATCTCGAAACAAGAAACTCCAGAGACAAATGCCCGGCATACTGCCTGCATTCATACAGCTCAGTGATTGAGAGAAGGCCGTCGATGGCGGTGGGTATGGAGCCGGAGAGCTGGTTGTAACTCAGGTCGCTGCGGAGTGGGAAGCCAGGAGTGGGAAAGGGAGAAAGAGGGGCAGAGGGAGGTCTCTGTGTGTTCGATGTGGTTGGGGAGGAGATGTGTGAGGAGAGGGAAGCGAGGTGGAGAGGATTACACAAAAGAATCAAGTGGGCAGGAAGGGTGAGTGACTGACAGGTGGGGAGGGTGGTGGGGTGAGTGAGTGAGTGACTGACAGGTAGAGCAGGCGTGTGAGGCCGCTGATGGTGGGTGGGATGGACCCGGTCAGTGCGTTGTTGTCTAGATCACTGCACGGCACATGCACATGCATGCAATAGAGACACGTGTTGCACAATGGGAGAGGACCATGGGTAAACAGGTGAGCAGGCGGAGGGGATGGGGGATGGAGGGTTACGGATGCGTGTGGATAGAAATATATATGTGTACAGTTGTTGCGTGCACGTGGCTCTGCTATTGCAAGGATGGGGATGGATGGGGAGGATAGAATGAAGGGGGGCGGAGAGGCCGCAACGAGGGACGGTGGCGATAATAGGGAGGTGGGATCGTTGAGCATTGAACAACAGCAGTCGAGAGTGGCGAGACAACCAAAATTGCATTGCAAACAGGGGCCGGCACGGTGCAAGCGGTGCGAGGGTGGAGGGTGGAGGGGCAGGGAGGCTGACAGATGAGTGAGTCCGATGAGGGCGCCGATGCTGGGCGGGATGGGTCCTGCTATGCCCCCGCTGTTCAACACCCTGACGCATGGCAACGAGGGGAGTGAGAGATATAGGTTGGGGGGGCGCAGAGAGAGGGAGGGTGGGAGGGGGAGAGAGGAAAGTTAATGAGTGAGGGTGGAATGGGATGGGAGAGGAAGGGAGAGGAAGTAAGAGGAGGCGAGCAGGAGGAGGAACGTCTTGTTGCTTTTGAGTTCAGCCAAAGATATAAAGGTCACTATTCATATGGAGGCTCTTGTTATTCAAACGGTTCAGCCACGTGCCGATGCGGTGGGTTGGAGCGTGGAGTGTGTGGAGCGTGGAGCGGGCAGCGGGCAGCGGTCAGCAAGCAGCGGGCAGCGGGCAGCGGGCAGCAGGCAGCGGGCAGCGGGCAGTGGGCAGCAGGCAGCGGGCAGCGGGCAGCGGGCGATGAGGCCTCACATCCAGTCGACCATGCCGGCGGCGTCGCATGTGATGTTGAGGGCGATCCCACAATCCGTGGGGTCGGACGGGTCTACGAACGCCACGCCCCATGCCGCCGCGCACGCCGCCAGCGGCGCCACTGTGGGGGGAGCAGAGAGAATGTGGGGAGATGGGGAGGATGTGAGTAGGGGCAACGACGCGAACGGGAAGCCGGCATGTAAGGAGTTTCTATGCGGGAATTACGGGACGAGGAGAGCGGGGTTCGGATCGCACGTCACGCCGCGTCACCGCCGCGCATGGAATCACACGTGGCAGCACCTTGTGACTTGTCCAGACGTGGCTCAGCGGCGACCACGGGGATCCCTCGCGGACATGCAGTGAACTGCGCGCTACTGCTGCTGCTGACGAACCACCCATCTAGGCCGCTATTTGTGGTTCCGTCATTGCAAAGCAGGAGAAATAGCCGTAGCAGCAGCAGCGGCGGCGGCAGCGGCAGTGGCAGCGGCACGAACACGAAAGAACGACGTGCGAATCTACTACGGCAATGGCGTCGTTTGGTACTGCCAGCGTGGACTGAAGCGCCTGCCGTCATCCGTGCGGTCTCGCAGCAGCGCGGACTGCTGCTGCTCGTACTATGCGGTGCAAAACGCGTCCAGTCATGCGATATATATATTTCACAAGAAGACTCAGCTCGGAGAGCCTTCGGAGGAGAAAGGTGGGATGGCCTCTCGTGGCCGCTAATCTGCTTTTTGTTGCAGATCCTGCTTCTACTGGCACGAACGAGGACGAGTCGCTCGCAGCACGGTTCAGTAGATCTACACGGGTAGAAACACACAACCCACAGAACCAAATGGAGGCGGGAGGGCTAGGAGAGGGACTTCAGTTGACCCGCGATTTGGGTGTGAGCTTGCAACTGACGCTGCACACGGGAGATTTCCCATTCCAACGGGCCCCCCTGATTGGTTTGGCGAAACATGCAGGAGCGCGTCCAACCCGTTACCATCAGCCCCAGCGAAAGGGCCGGAATCCTTATCGCGGATGTTTTTGAGGTGAGAACGGGTGAAGACTGTTTGACGAGTTACTGGACATTTGTGAATATTATGAGTTTTACTAGACAGAGTGCGCGGAAGACTTTATAAAGAAGACGTGATCGCAGAATGACGAAACAATGAAGAAAGCGAGAATATATAGGGCGAAAACTAGCTAGGCGAGAACCTCTAGATGTGCGTGGCTCGGAAATGTCGCGATTGGTGCGGGCCGACTCGGCAGTGGTTCGGGCCGAAGTGTAGGCCGAACCTTGAGGGTGCCCCGAAGTGCTCGGGGCTGTACGCCCTAGGAGCAGACTCCGTAATGAATAAGTCATATTCATTACACTCTCCCACCTTCTAAATAAGGTGCCCTTATACGTAGGCGAGTCGGGCAGTAGCATGAAAACTGCAGATCTCGGTCGAAAACCGTTTTGACGGTGCGGATAGCGTTGACCATCGCGAATTTCAGAGAGTTGGAATGTCAGCCGTTCGATACTGCCGATGTCGATCGGGCGGTTGAAGGCGAATGACGAGTTGAAACCTTTCGACGAAGGAAAGCCGTCGATGTAAATCGTGCGGTGTTGACGCTGGCGATGCTGGCGAAAGTTCTGACACGCTGTCAGATGTCAGTGAATCGGGGGTCGTCGATGCCGATGAAGACATCGCAAGCGTCCGTCGTGCCGGATTGTCAGACGAAGCTGTCAGAAATAACTGCTGAAATGTCAAAGATCTGCCGAGAACAGTGCGCGAGCACGCTTTCTCCCCCCCCTGAAGATAACTGCTGCCCACCGACATGTGCACAGCTGCGCGGGCACAAAACCACAATCACCCTGAGGCCGAGGGTAGAACAGAATACCAAATGTTATAAACTCCCGCCTGAAACGCAGCCGCTGTGCTGTCGAAATTGTTGTCGGTGGCGGAAATGTCGAAATTCTGACTCGTACTGCTTCCAGGATAAATCGCGTCGAAGTCCCTTGAGTGGTAAAATCGTTGTGCGCTGAGACTCGAAACCCTTGGATTTTTTTTTTTTTTTCCTGCAGAAAACAATCTTCTTGTCTTGTAGTCACGACTGCTGCTGCAGAATCTCCCGTGACTGCCACCCCGAAATTGCTGCTGTCTGTCTTGTTGCTGTGGCGAATTGCCTCGCTGTAACTGTTCCAGCTGTCGGCGCCCCCGGCAGTCTTGTCCAGACTCGCCGAGACCTTTCTTGCGTTGCTCCGAGAACTCCCGGGCAGGGACGAATACAGCTGCTGCTCTTCCCCCTGGTGACCAAATATTTTTTCAAAGTTGAAACTCGAACTGTCGATGACGTCAGCTACCTCGGCGACGTTGTCGTGACTCGCCGAAAACTGCGGGGCAGAGGCGAAAAACTCTCCTTCCTTCTGTAGCGATACTTCGTAATTGTTGTCGCTGGTACCCCCGAGCAACTTCCGATTCGTACGGCTACACATTTGACGACGAGTGCCTTCGCGCGCTTAATCGTGCTCACGCACTGCAACTCCGCCGCCGGCACGGATAGTGTCAGCGACCCCGCTGACTCCGTTAAGACTCATTCTCGGAGCTGCTGGGTCCACCCGCAAATGTCGGAAATAATTACACCACGTAAAGTCTTGGTTGCCTGCAGGTTGTTCCCCGAAAGAACCGGTGTTTCTATCGCGCCCACCCGGTCACCATTTTTTTCGTGCGGTTAACCACTCAAGCGACCCACCAACAGGAGGTGCTTGTTAGGCGTGGAACCCAGTACTTATGGGTCTTCCGAGACCGATTTTCACGGACCCTAGCGCGCATCAACGCCGCAGATCTCGCAGCAAAACTTCCCCAGACTGCTTCGAAGTACTCCAAGAAACGCTTAAAACAGCTGGCGAGCAGACGTGCACCCGTCTCCCACCGTCGAAGTTGCACCCGAAAACTTTCCCTCCTTTGTTTTCTTTCGCCCCCCGACAATTTCGCATGCCGTCGTTCACCCAGCGTCCGCTTTTGTCGGATGAGACATTCTTCGTGTTGACCCGCGATTTTTCTGGCGTTCGATGAAGGCGCGAACACAATCGTAGCCGGGGTGAGTTTATCGTATCAAACGCCCGCCCGGCCGCTTTGCTGCCCACCGTGCCTATCGCACTTAAAAGACTCCACAGCTTCGGAAACTCCATTCGCTGCTACACCGCCGTTGGGTAGACCGTTGAATTAGGAGAAACACCGACAGCTACCACAATTTCCTCAGTCCCGACTTTTTTGGCAGGGTAACTGTCGCCGATGGTCCGTTTTTGTCGGGGCCGAACAGTGTCGCACCACAAACTGTTTTCTTATACGCCCTGCCGTCGAACCAGCGCCACCCACGCCTTTCTAACCAGCACAGGGCTAAAAACACAGGGCCCCACCGTTTTATCCAGTAGCCAACAGGACTTACGAATTGCCTTCGAGGCTTTTTCTGGTGTGAGGTATGTGAAACGTCGGTAGACTTGGCCGGTAGGGAGCTCCTTCTGCTACCGCCGCTTAGCCGTGAGACTCGGCCTCAGCAAAAGTCGTCGCTGTAGGTCGTTTTTCTCGCCTCCTGAAGTCGGAACCCGTTTCTCTCGCCGGACCCGTATTAGTCGCAACTCCGTTTATTGTAGCCGGTAGAACCCCCGAAAATTCGCGGGTCTAAACGCTGCGCCGAATCGTTGTTCCGTGGTGTAGTGGGCTGTCTGCAAACACACGTACCTCTGGCCGGAGGGAACTGTGCCGCGTGAAGTGCAGAATCGGCTGCCACTGTTGCTCCGAAATTTTTGAGAAGAAGTGAACGAGAATGAATGAACTATGAATGAAGTGAGTACAAATATGAAACCCTAATTGGGTTGTACCCCCTATGGGATACCCCACTATAGCCTACACAAAAAAGTAAGCTATAATGTTCTGACACACCCCCATAGGCAAAGTGGGGGAGAACAAGGGGTCACAAGACCAGTCAAGCAAAGCAAAGCAAAGCTCAGGGTGGATCACAAAGTCACCACACATTCCGAGCACAAGTTCAAGGGCCACAAGGCTAGTTCACATGCAAGATCATATATAGAGATATACAAGAGTCAAGCAAACAAGAGCAAGAGTATATATAGGTCAAGGTACAAGCAAGGTCAAGAAGTGAGCAAGTGAGGCAAGACAGGCACAAGACCTAGCTGCGTGCAGCAACGCTGATGATCACAAGGCGCAAGTGCCTTGGTGAAGACATCAGCAGTGTTGGCTTCAGAGGCCACGTACGCAAGTCGCAACTGCCCACGCTGCTGCAGCTCACGAGCAAGAAAGTAGCGGAGAGCAATGTGCTTTGTCCTGTGCTCCAGTCGCTGCTCTCGACACAAGGCCAGCATGGCCTTGTTGTCTACGTACAGGACTGGAGGAGAACGAGGCGGCTCTCCAAGGTCGGTCAGCAGGTAGGTGAGCCAGCGAAGCTCCTGAGCAGCCATAGCCCCGGCGTAGATCTCAGCCTCACAACTGGAGCCGAGAACAGAAGACGAGCGAGTAGCCCGCCACGAAACAGAGCCGGAACCAAGGCCGAAGGTGTAACCCTGTGACGACCGCTGCGTAGCCTGGTTGTCAGCCCAAGAAGCGTCCGCGTGCCCAGTGAGGACCACTGGACTGCGCCCTCCAAGCACTAGCCCCATGCCCGATGTACTGCACAAGTAGCGCAACACCCTCTTCGCTGCAGCCATGTGCTCTGGTCGGTGTCTCCCAGGAGCAACATCGCGTGCGAGAATGCTGAGAGGGTATGCAAGGTCAGGTCGTGTGCAGGTCATCAGGTACATGAGGCAGCCAACAAGCTCCGCATACGGGCCACTCGACTCTACGGACTCATCCAAAGGCAGAGCTGAGAGCGAGTGGCGAGTAGGCAGAGGAGTGGCCTGAGGCGAGGAGTACGTGAAGCCGAAGCGGTGAAGGACCTGCTGCACCATGTGTGACTGAGTCAGGGTAATGGTGCGGCGTGCTCTGTCCCGGGTGATCTGCAAGCCAAGGTAGCTGCGCAGTTCACCCAGGTCAGTGCACGTGTGTCTCTTCTGCAGCTCGGACTTCACGTAGGCGAGTCCAGCAGTGTCAGCTGTGGCAAAGACCAAGTCGTCGACGTACACGAGGATGTAGAACGGCGGCAGAGTGGTGTCGGTGCGCAGAAACAGCGACGGGTCGGCAGTAGAAGGAGCAAACCCAAGTGCCGCAAGCGTAGTCCTCAGTGTGTCGTGCCACTCACGTGGCGCCTGGCGGAGACCGTAGACTGGACGCCGGAGACTCCACTGGGTACCAGGAGGGAAAGACCCAGTGAAGCCAGGTGGGCGACGCAGCCAGATCTCCTCGTGCAGGCTGCCCTGCAAGAAAGCAGTGCTGAAGTCGAGAGAGTGCAGCTCGTAGTCACGGTGAGCAGCAACGTGCAGCAGTACCCGAAGAGTGGTCATCTTCGGGGTGGGGGAGAAGGTCTGAAAGTAGTCAACTCCCTGCCGCTGACTGAAGCCACGAGCCACGTAACGCGCCTTGAAGACAGGCGGAGAACCCGGCGGCCGCTTCACCCTGAAGATCCATATGCCGCTGACGATGTTCGCCCCAGGAGGGGGAACAGCGTCAACGTAGGTGCCTGTGGACTTCCAGGAAGCCATCTCTGCATCCATAGCTGCCTGCCACTGAGAGGAGTAGGGACCCTCTATCGCCTCCGCGTAAGAGCGCGGAGTCGGGATGTCTAGTGCATCCGGGTCTCCCTCAGGGGCGAGCAGTACAGACGCGAGATGAGGTGAAGCGGCGGCCAGACACTGGAACTCCTCCTGCCTGTCCTCAAGAACGTCCGTGCCTAGGGCACACTCACCCCCGACGGACGGAGGACAGGCAGACACAGACTCAGCGACAAGACTAGCAGCGTAGTCTAGACGACAGCGCGCAGCAAAGTTGACGAGCTCAGTGACAAGGGCAGAAGCAGCAGAAGACTCGAAAGAAGGGTCAGTGACAGCAGTAGCAAGGAGACGCGTGACAGTAGGACTGGCAGCACGAAGAGAGTCCGACTCCGAGTCGGCAAGAGCAGGAAGAGAGGACTCAGGAGGAGAAGGCAAAGGGGCACGCAGACCCCCGCTTTCTTCGGGCAGTCGCCACGCCGCCTCTCCTCGCCGTCGGTTTTTCCGACGCAAATCACACATTGCGCCTGGCTGCTCGACCAGCAGTCGTTTTCCACGTGCTGCTACCCGAAATCTTCGCGCACAGTGACGACGCGCCACTTGCCGAAGACTTCCACTAGCTCGTGCGCAACGTGACGAAGACGCCCATCGCCACTTGCCCCACGCGGCTAGCTCCGAAATTGTCGCGCGCAGTTGTCGACCACGAGCCGACGCAACTCGCACGACGCCTTGCTTCCGACATCTTCGGAAGTGTACTGACGGAGATCCTGTCGACGTCAGCTGCTATACAAATTAATTCCGAAAACCCCGAAAACGTACACTGTTAACTCACGCATTAAATGCGACCACAGCAAAAGCTGTCCGCCACCCGGGGGGAGGGAGGCCACGGTCCATCTCGACCGTCGAGGGCAAGGATCCGTCGGTGCCGCAGGAGCGCCTTGAAATTCATGGCCGCTAGGAGCAACTACCCGTTCTCCTGGCCGGCTCTTGCGCTGCTCCTGTCACCACGGCATCCTTCCCTGTCCCCCCCCCGAGGGGTATTACACTCTAAAAAACGGGGAAGCTAGGAAAGTAGCTCTGATATCAAGTATTATTAGTTTTACTAGACAGAGTGCACGGAAGACTTTATAAAGAAGACGTGATCGCAGAATGACGAAACAATGAAGAAAGCGAGAATATATAGGGCGAAAACTAGCTAGGCGAGAACCTCTAGATGTGCGTGGCTCGGAAATGTCGCGATTGGTGCGGGGCGACTCGGCAGTGGTTCGGGCCGAAGTGTAGGCCGAACCTTGAGGGTGCCCCGAAGTGCTCGGGGCTGTACGCCCTAGGAGCAGACTCCGTAATGAATAAGTCATATTCATTACAGTGAATCTTCCTCGTTACATCTATAAACTGAGCATAGAATCAAGGACTATCCTAGTTTGTATTGTAAGGGACTAAAATGACAGCCAAAGCAAAATACATTGGCCCTACGGTATGTTCGTTATGGTAAAAGGTGCACTGTCAGTTGCGCCTTGAAAATGACTACCGGTACCTGTCCAATTGCGTAAGAAACCAACTGCGTCTGAAACTGCATTATCCTGTTGCATACAATAATGTGTTCCCATACAATCTATATCGCAACACCCTCCTTTCATAAACTCAATCTGAATGCCAACTCCTGTGTCGTCTAGCCCTACGTTACTCCGTTTAAACCACCTTCGTCCTATTTGTGTCTAGGCTGCGAAAGGGGGGAACGGAAAGGAGGGGATGGGATCTGGTGAAAAGAAAGTGGTTTAAACATAGCTCATACTCCCCTGCGAACTTGCTTCCCCAAAGAACCTCCTGAACCAAATTCAATGCTATCTTCCTTCACACCAGGAGCAACTGCTGGTGGATAAGGCGCAGGGCGTGGGGCAAGCGAGACTGGACGAAACGAGTAACACTTAGGGGTGTGACACGAGGGGAGCGCGGCTGGAACCCATGTTTCTTCCAGCCACACCCCCCTCGTGTCACACCCCTAAGCGTTACTCTAGTCCAGTCTCGCTTGCCCCACGCCTTGCGCCTTATCCACCTGCAGTTGCTCCTCCAGGGGAGGCTACACGCGCACAAGCGGCTCCTGATCTTGGGGTATGGGTGCATGGGTACGTGATCGCATGGGTGCATGAGTCAATGGATGCATGGGCTCACTCACTCAACAATCACTCACGGATTGCAAGCTTCTAAGAATTGGATAAAGGAATCAGAATCTAGATCTGTAATGACTCTACCTAGCTCGCTCACTCTCTCACTCACCATCGCTCACTCGGCACCGTACAACACCGCTCACCGCCGCTCAGGATCACTCACAACCACTCGGCACGTCTCAGCACCGCTCCAAACTGCTCAGCACCGCTCCAAAACGCTCAGCACCGCACATGGCCACTCAACACCGCTCAGCACGGTCCACCACCGCTCGGCACCACTGAAGAGCAATCGGCACCACTGACGACCGCACAAAACCATTCCGCATCGCTCACTGCCGCTCACAACCACACAGCGGCACTCGGCACCGCACAACACCGCTCACCGACGCTCACGACCACTCACAACCACTCGGCACGGCTCAGCACCGCTCTGAACCACTCAGCACTGCCGGGAACCACTCTGAACCACTGGGAACTTCTCAGCAAACAGACAAACAACTAAACAATCAACAACACAGGAAACAGGTGATAGAGGCAAGAGATTGACAAGAGGAGCAGAGACAAGAGAGAATGAAGTGAGGAGAAGCAAGGAATGTAGAGGAAAACAGAGAGGAAAGAGGATTGGGAGAGTAGGGGAGAGGGGAGAGATTGAGGAGAGGAGCAGAGGGGAGAGAGAACGAGAAGAGGATGAGAGAGGAGAGAGAATGAAGAGGGGAGCAGAGAGGAGAGAAGATTGAGAGAGTATGGGAGAGGGAGGGGAGAGATTGAGAAGAGGAGCACAGTGGAGAGAGGACGAGAAGAGGATGAGAGAGGAGAGAGAACGAGAGGATGGGAGCAGAGGGGAGAGAGGACAAGGAGAGGTGGGAGGAGGCAGGTGGCAGTGGACAGCGGGAGGTGGGCGGCGAGAGCGCGTGGCGGAGGGCCCAGCCAGCAGAGACACGACGCGTTGTTGTCCCCCACCCGCCAAGTCTCCCCCAAGTCCCCCTTAATCCCCCATTCTAGCAAACAAAACAGGGAAACGAAATCTAAAGAGTTGGGTGATGTTCAGCGTGTGGAGAGGAAGGGACAGAGGCAGGGCAGGTGTTTGAGGGTCAGGGAGGTGGGTGAAGGGGCACAGGTGGTTAGGGAGATGAGGCAGTCACTTGAAAAAAGGTCACCGCAAACTCACCTCCAGGTACAGCTATGGTACAGCTAGCCCCCATACCACCCTGATACAGCAGCCCTTGAAAGGTATGGAGCAGCCCTGGCAACGGAGCGAGCAAAGACAACTTGAGGGCCGCTCCTGACGATGTGGGGCAGGAGAGAGAGCTCCCTTGAAAACTCTGCCGGCTCAACCTGTTATAGTCACAGTCACAATCACAGTCACAGTCACAGCCACAGCCACAGTCACAGCCACAGTCACAGTCACAGCCACAGCCACAGTCACGGCCAGAGCCAGTCACACAGTCACAGCCACAATCACAATCACAGTCACAGTCACAGCCACAGTCACAGTAACAGTCACACCACCATGCATTAGATTAGAATCAGCCGACCTCTGCTGCAGTGACGTTGCAGTCACACGAATCAATCAATGGAGCTCGGGGTAGGCATAAATTCAAGAAAATCAATTAATGGATTTCGGGGTAGGCACTCACTCATGCACTCACTCACTCACTCATTCAATCACACGATCACCCATACACACTCGCCCGCTCCCTCGCTTTCTCACTCGCTTATTAAATCACTCAATCACACGGTCACCCACACACACACTCACTCACTCATCGCGCGCTTGCCTTCAGCAATTTGCGCCACCCTCATTCCCAGCCGATCCACTCACCTCGTCCCCACTGCTGCTTGCCACGCCCTCCGTCTTGTCCACGAGCAGCACCTCCTTCACCCCCGCCTACACGCACACCAGCCCCAGCAGCAGCGCACGCATGGCATCACTCACCCACGTCCCTTCCCAATCCTCCCCAGGCCAAAGCACAGCAGTACTGGGACCCCTCACTACTATTCCAGTCCTTCCCTGCCTCTAGCTCCTCCCCCCGGCCAGCCCACGTAGGCCAGTCTGCTTGATATCACCGAATCTCACCCAATCTCCTCAACTCACTCACCACATATCGCCCATGATCACCTTCGCGTCGTATTACACCCATCCTTCACTCCACTCCACCCTCGCCCACCCACTCCGCAGTATCCCCATCCAGCCCTGACCAGCCCAACCTGCATCATTCCAAACTTTCTTACCCGACCCACATCAACTTGACCAACCTGCCACTTGTCCTGTCATACACCCGGCTTCCCCCCTCACCTCACCCAACCTATGTCCATCCCTTGATACCTCACCTGCACCCTCAGGTCACTCTTCCCCAGCCCACAGCCACCCCCTCTGCACCTCCTACTTGAGAACCCAGCCCAACCTGCCTCATAACAACCCACCATGCCCAACTCACTGTGCGCCAGAACCCACCTAACCACCTATCCACCTACCCACCTACCCACCTACCCACCAGCCACAATCCACCTACACATCACCCACCTACCCATCATCCATCACCCAACTACTCACCCAGTCACCCAACCAACCCATCACTCTCACACACTCAACCACAAAACGCACCACCCACCACCTAACCACACTGTTACACACCCACCCCACACACCCAACCACCTGCTCACTACCCACCACCCACCCACCTAATCACCCAACAACCGACCCACCCACCCACTCACCCACCTAAACTAACCAGCCAACCAGGTACCCACGCACCCATACATCCACCCACTCACCCAGCCAGCCGCTCCTCACTTATCCACCCCCAGTCAACTACCCACCCACCAACCTACCCACCTAATCACCCGCCCACTTACCCACCCAGTCAACTACCCACCCACCAACCTACCCACCTAATCACCCGCCCACTTACCCACCCAGTCAACTACCCACCCACCAACCTACCCACCTAATCACCCGCCCACTTACCCACCCAGTTAACTACCCACCCACCAACCTACCCACCTAATCACCCGCCCACTTACCCACCCAGTCAACTACCCACCCACCAACCTACCCACCTAATCACCCGCCCACATACTCACCCAGTCAACTACCCACCCACCAACCTACCCATCTATTCCCCAGCCTACCTATCCACCCACCCGTCCACCCACAAATCCAACCCCTCACCTATCCTCCAACTATCCATCTACCCACCCACCCAAGTACCCACCTAATCACCCACCCGCCCCCCTACCTACCCACTTACCCAACCTCCCACCCAGCCCATCTTCTATCCACAACCTACCTACCCACCCACCAACCCGCCGTCCCACCTACCCAGTCCCCTTCTCTCCCACTCACCCACCCAAGGGGTTTCAGCCCCTTCTCTCCCATTCACCCACCCAAGGGGTTTCAGCCCCTTCTCTCCCATTCACCCACCCAAGGGGTTTCAGCCCCTTCTCTCCCATTCACCCACCCAAGGGGTTTCAGCCCCTTCTCTCCCATTCACCCACCCAAGGGGTTTCAGCCCCTTCTCTCCCATTCACCCACCCAAGGGGTTTCAGCCCCTTCTCTCCCATTCACCCACCCAAGGGGTTTCAGCCCCTTCTCTCCCATTCACCCACCCAAGGGGTTTCAGCCCCTTCTCTCCCATTCACCCACCCAAGGGGTTTCAGCCCCTTCTCTCCCATTCACCCACCCAAGGGGTTTCAGCCCCTTCTCTCCCATTCACCCACCCAAGGGGTTTCAGCCCCTTCTCTCCCATTCACCCACCCAAGGGGTTTCAGCCCCTTCTCTCCCATTCACCCACCCAAGGGGTTTCAGCCCCTTCTCTCCCATTCACCCACCCAAGGGGTTTCAGCCCCTTCTCTCCCATTCACCCACCCAAGGGGTTTCAGCCCCTTCTCTCCCATTCACCCACCCAAGGGGTTTCAGCCCCTTCTCTCCCATTCACCCACCCAAGGGGTTTCAGCCCCTTCTCTCCCATTCACCCACCCAAGGGGTTTCAGCCCCTTCTCTCCCATTCACCCACCCAAGGGGTTTCAGCCCCTTCTCTCCCATTCACCCACCCAAGGGGTTTCAGCCCCTTCTCTCCCATTCACCCACCCAAGGGGTTTCAGCCCCTTCTCTCCCATTCACCCACCCAAGGGGTTTCAGCCCCTTCTCTCCCATTCACCCACCCAAGGGGTTTCAGCCCCTTCTCTCCCATTCACCCACCCAAGGGGTTTCAGCCCCTTCTCTCCCATTCACCCACCCAAGGGGTTTCAGCCCCTTCTCTCCCATTCACCCACCCAAGGGGTTTCAGCCCCTTCTCTCCCATTCACCCACCCAAGGGGTTTCAGCCCCTTCTCTCCCATTCACCCACCCAAGGGGTTTCAGCCCCTTCTCTCCCATTCACCCACCCAAGGGGTTTCAGCCCCTTCTCTCCCATTCACCCACCCAAGGGGTTTCAGCCCCTTCTCTCCCATTCACCCACCCAAGGGGTTTCAGCCCCTTCTCTCCCATTCACCCACCCAAGGGGTTTCAGCCCCTTCTCTCCCATTCACCCACCCAAGGGGTTTCAGCCCCTTCTCTCCCATTCACCCACCCAAGGGGTTTCAGCCCCTTCTCTCCCATTCACCCACCCAAGGGGTTTCAGCCCCTTCTCTCCCATTCACCCACCCAAGGGGTTTCAGCCCCTTCTCTCCCATTCACCCACCCAAGGGGTTTCAGCCCCTTCTCTCCCATTCACCCACCCAAGGGGTTTCAGCCCCTTCTCTCCCATTCACCCACCCAAGGGGTTTCAGCCCCTTCTCTCCCATTCACCCACCCAAGGGGTTTCAGCCCCTTCTCTCCCATTCACCCACCCAAGGGGTTTCAGCCCCTTCTCTCCCATTCACCCACCCAAGGGGTTTCAGCCCCTTCTCTCCCATTCACCCACCCAAGGGGTTTCAGCCCCTTCTCTCCCATTCACCCACCCAAGGGGTTTCAGCCCCTTCTCTCCCATTCACCCACCCAAGGGGTTTCAGCCCCTTCTCTCCCATTCACCCACCCAAGGGGTTTCAGCCCCTTCTCTCCCATTCACCCACCCAAGGGGTTTCAGCCCCTTCTCTCCCATTCACCCACCCAAGGGGTTTCAGCCCCTTCTCTCCCATTCACCCACCCAAGGGGTTTCAGCCCCTTCTCTCCCATTCACCCACCCAAGGGGTTTCAGCCCCTTCTCTCCCATTCACCCACCCAAGGGGTTTCAGCCCCTTCTCTCCCATTCACCCACCCAAGGGGTTTCAGCCCCTTCTCTCTCACTCACCCACCTAAGGGGTTTCAGCCCCTTCTCTCCCACTCACCCACCCAAGGGGTTTCAGCCCCTTCTCTCTCACTCACCCTCCCAAGGGGCTTCAGCCCCTCCTCACCTTCTCTTGCCAGCAAGAGGAGCAGCAGACAGCCCATTTCCTTTGGAAACAGCACCCTCAGGGGCTGCGCCTTGTGGGGCGAGGAGTGGTAGTGAAAAATCGCTTCCAGCCCAAGACTCAAATCCCACCCCCGACGTAGCTAGAGCTGACGCGAACCAGAGCCGCCGGCCGGTCGACTCTGACGGTGTCCATTAAGCTTTGAACGCCAGTTCGGTTACTTGAGCACCGAGTGCCGTGCCGCGAAGATTCCACCCACCACACTCCCACCACCACAAGACACAACCCCTGAGGATTGTGCCCCTGTGGGAGTGACCTCACTGCATGCTCCCATGCTCCCCCACACTTCACCCACATGCCTCTTACCTCTACTTACCTCCACTTACCACAGCCTTGCAGGGCGCCATGATGCTGAGGCTGCTGGGAAGTGGGAGGGGGGGGTTTCGGGGACGGCCGAACTCCACAGTGGTCCAGGCAGGGTGCTGCTGGGAGGGAAGGGAGAAGGAGAGAGGAGGAGGTGAGTGAGAGGGTGGACTCCACTCTCCCGCCCTTGCTCCAGTGCTCCCACCTTCAGCCTGCAAGAGAGAAAGGGAGGGAGAGAGAGAGGGGAGGGAATCAGATCACCACACCTTATCTGGTACCTTACCAAACCTTTTACCACACCTCGCTCACACCATGCCTAGCCTAATCTCCTGCCCAGCCCCCCACCCCCCCACTGCTGCTGCACTGCTGCTTCTGCTGCTGCAACTGCTGCTGCCGGTCTGCTACTCTGCTTCCTCTGCTGCACTCTTCTCTTGATGCCCAGTGATCTGGTGGCGGGCAGAAAAAGGGGGAGGGGGACAGGAGAGAAAGGGCAGAAGGTTAGTTATGTGACCTGAACAAAAACACTAAAGTCAACACAGAAACGCATAAGCTGACAGAGACAACACGGGCAAAATGCAAAGAGAATTGAAGCAACAAATGCACTCTAAGGAGGGAGGTAACGCACCTTGAGAGGCCAGCCCACCCCAATACTCTCCCTTGTGGCACCAGCAAGCTGCTGCAGTGCTGCCGCCCTCCCATCCCCATGGGTACCTGCACGGCCACAAGGGAGGGGCGTGGGGGAGTGTTGGCGTCGACCCACTCGCCCCTCCCTCCACCGGCAACGCACACACGCAGAGATAGTGAGTGTACAATCATAACACAAGGCTGGCATGGCAGCTGGGAATACAAACGCAGGGAAGTGGAGGGAAGGGGCCACTGGTGGAGGGAAGGATCACAAGCCACGGACCATCAAAGGAACCTGAAAAATGAACCTGTAAGTAAGGGGTAACCCGAGGGGGGTGTAAGGCCTAGGGATGGCTTAACCTGAGGGGCTTAGGAGCTAAGGGGGAGGGTCTGTGGCTTGCAAACCAGGCCCGAACCAATGGCGAGTTCTCAGGGAGAAAACGCGGAAGCACATGCGAAAATGATTCAGGGAGCAACGTGAGGAAAGAGCAGCAAGCAAGGGTGGTTCCAGGGAAGAGAAGGCACTTAGCTGCAGGATGCTGACTCCCTCCCTCCCCTCCCCTGCTGCTGCCGCCGCCGCCGCCACCACCCCCACCGCTGCTGCTGCTGCTGCTGGTGCCGCCGCAAGTGGTTTCGTGAAGGTGGCACAGAGCTGCCTCTGCTGCATGAAAGGGACCTGGAAGGGGGCAGAAGGGAAGGAAGGAGAGGAGGCGAGTGAGTGCAGGCCGTGAGGCAAGCAAGGGCGAAGCGCAAGGATAAGCAGCAGAAGAGGCAGCATCAAGGACCCACAGCAACAAGTGTGGCAGAGAAGAGCTGGAAAGAGGCTTACCTTGAAGGGCCAAGCCCACGCCAATACTCTCCCTTGAGGCAGCGCAATTGCCATGCTGCACTGCTGCCTCCCTCCCTCCCTCCTGCACGGCCACAGGGGAGGGGCGTGGGGAAGCGTCGGTGTTGACCCCAGCGCCCCTCCCCTCCACCTGCAATGAGCACACACGGCAGTGGTCAGTATGCATGGCCTGGGCACACCACAAGGCAGAGACCGGAACTGCCAAATGTGAAAGAGCGCCACTGGTTGAGGCAAGGCCACACGCCACAGACGCCAAGGGAACCTGCACCTGAGAGGGGACCTGCACCTGAGGGGGGGACCTGCACCTGAGAGGGGACCTGCACCTGAGAGGGGACCTGCACCTGAGGGGGGACCTGCACCTGAGAGGGGACCTGCACCTGAGAGGGGACCTGCACCTGAGGGGGGACCTGCACCTGAGAGGGGACCTGCACCTGAGAGGGGACCTGCACCTGAGGGGGGACCTGCACCTGAGAGGGTTACCTGCACTGCACCTGAGGAGATACCTGAAGTGTGGGGGTCTGTGGCATGTGAACCGCGCTGGACCAGTGGCATTGTTTCAAAGGGAAGAGCGTACAACCAGCAAACGAAATGACATGCAAAGAAGGTGAGGGCATGGAGGAGGGTTACTTAGCTGGTGGCGTGCGGGCGAGCTCAAGGCAGCTGCAGCACCACCAGCTGCCTCCCTCCGCAGCAGCCCTCCTCCCAGCCTTCTCGTGTGCGCCCCTGCAATGCGCACACACAGAGCTAGTCAGAGCGCAGTGGTGGGAGCAAGTTGAAGGGGAGACTGTGACTTGAAATCCAGCGCAAGGGAAGGGCAGAGGAGCCACTGGTTGAGGCACAGCCACAAACTGCAGACCCAAGGGCACCTGAAAAAAAAACCTGAGGGGTGTACCTGCACCAGAGGGGGTTACCTGCACCTGAGAGGGTTACCTGCACCTGAGAGGGTTACCTGCACCTGAGAGGGTTACCTGCACCTGAGAGGGTTACCTGCACCTAAGGGAATTACCTGAAGCAGGGGGGTCTGTAGCATGTGAGCAACAGCCAACCAGTGGCGTTGTTTCAAGAAGACAGTGCAACAGCAGATGAAACAAACGAAACAATGCTGCAGGCAAGGGTGCGGGCATGAGGGAACGGGTACTTGGCTGATTGTGTGGTGCAGGCGGAGGGGGTGCTTCAATGGAGAGTGGGCAGGGTGAGCGGGGGTTGAAGGGACGGACCTGCGAGGCAGAGGAGAAGAGAGAGGGAGATAGGGAGATAGTAAGGGGCTGGTAGGAGGGAGTGACTCTTTTAAACGAGAAGATTCTGACAGCAGTGCGAGTGCAAAAAGACGGTGCATGTGACGCCAACCACAGGCCCACAAGAGCCACTACCAACCTGCACCTGCACCTGCACCTGCACCTGCACCTGAACCTGAACCTGAACCTGAGGGGGAGGGGGCTCATGTGGAGTGTGGCGGCAGTGGCGATACTGCAACCTCAACCGTTGATGAGGCCTGGTGCTGCTGCCCTGCTGCCCGCCTTGGCGCTCCACGTTGCTTGCTGCTCGCCCGCTGCTCTCCCCTTGGCTTGTGCAGGCCTGGCGGGAAGGGAAGGCAGGGACGGCAGGGAGGGCAGGGCGGGGAGGAATGAGGTGAGTCACGGAGAGAATGAATTTCGGTAACGTGGGATGACGGGGGAAGGGAGAGTGCAGAGTGCGATGCCACAGGGAGATGACAGGCGAGGTGGAACACAAAGAAGAATAAGGCAAGGGAAGGAGGGGCCACTGGCGGAGGCGCAACCACAAGCCACAGACCCCCAAGGCTACCTGAAAGGCTGTATGACCCTAGGGGGTCTGAACCTGAACCTGAGGGGCTTACCTGCTGGAGGAGTGATGGGGGGTGGTCTGTGGCTTGTGCGTCGTGCCCCCACGAATGGCCAGATTTCGATGGAGGACGGATGGAGGAAGCACGGAGCAGAGAAATGCGAGAGGCAAACAGTGTGACAGTTTGAGCAGGGAGCAAGAAGGCACTTAGCTTGATTAGAAGGCGGAGGATAGTCAACGCCTTCACTGCTGCCTGCTGCCTGCTGCCTGCTGCCTACAGATGCGCCAGTGACCTGTCACGGAGGGATGAGAGGCGGGGGCATGGAGAAGGGGAATACAAAGAGGGGAGAGCGGTGAGGTGGTGAGGCAGGAAGAGGGGGGTGTAGGCGAGTGAGAAGAAGCAAGGCAAGGCAATGGTGAGAGAACGGAAGCGAGGAGTGAGAGGGAAAGGCGATAGATGAGGGAAGAGCGAGATGGGGTGATTTCCCGAATGGGCATGGGGCAATACAATGGATTGCAGTTGAGACGGCGGAAACCAATCAGTCAGCGGAGCGGAGGAGTGCTGACCTGACGAGCACGTGGTGACGTGAGCGCGAGCGACGGTGCGAGGTGGGGCGGGAATGCAGCACAGCGCGACGAGGTCAACCGGTCTCCGCCAGCGGCGCGCGCCACGTGCCTTTCGTTGCGCGCATGCGCTCACGCCATCGCGCAGCTCCCCGCAACAGCGCGCGCGGCTTGCTCGCTCCCCCCCGAGCGCGCTGCACTGCAAGCCCGCTCACGACGAACGCGCATCGCCGAACGCGCCTGCCATACCACGCAGAACACGGGACCAATTCGAAAGGTGAGAAGACGGAAATACGCGACAGCAACTAGGAATACGCTTCACTGCGCGAATCGAAGAGCGAGGAGTGGATTGAAGGAAACTGCGCGGACTAACCTGGTCGGCTTCATCGCGTTGGCATCACTAAGCGTCGGCGACGGAAACCGGTGCCTCGAAAGAGCTCGTCACCAGCGAGGAGCCGCCTGCGACGAAACGACTCATCGCGAGCCAGACGAACCATCGCCAGCAGTGAACATTGTCGCCGACGAGAAGCTAGATAACCGGAAAGGAATCGTCGCAAGAGAGACGAACTGTCGCAAGAGAGACGAACTGACGCCAGCGAAAAGGGAGTGTCGCCTAATGTCGCTGGCGAGAAGCATAAAGCAGATCGAGGAATTGGCGCGCAACACTGCTGGCGAGAAGAAATTTTCATGGCAGAAAATATCGTCGTCCGCAAGATGCTCTTTTGCCGGAACAGAATCGCCAAACGATTGAAGAACCGTAGCCGTCGTTGGAATTGCTCGTTCAGCGAGAAGAATCGTAACAAGTAGCGTCGACTATCTTCGCTCGCTGGTAGAGTAAAGCAAACTCGTCATCGCGCTGAAGTATTTGTTTCAGGAAGAGAACCATCGCCCGCGAAATGACGTCGCCAAGCGAAAGGGACGCAGCAAGAAACAAAGATGGTCGCTCGCTATCGATTTCCTAAAACAGAACAGTCGCTACGAACGGCGGCGATCGCTTCTGACGGCGTAACTCGATCCTGTCGGCCGGAACTGCTGTTGCTAGCGAATATCGGTGATTCCGAAGGCGAAATTCGTTGTAGCCGATAACGAAATCGTTGCTGCTTACAGCGGAAACCGCTTCTCACGACGCCAAGCGAACACAGAAAATAGCAGTCGCTTCCGAAGAATCAATGCCGATTTTGACGGCGAATGTCGTTCCTGACGGCAAACTGTAGCCAATGCAATTCGACCTGCTTACTACGACATGGCTCCGCAGTTGTCGTTGGAAATCCAATACGAGGAGTTCGGCATTAGCTTCGCAAACTACGATGAATCGGCGGTAGAAGCTACTGTAACAGTGAAGGAAATGAAAGGAGCGAGGTGGAGGAAAATGGAGAACAGCAGGGAGGAGGAGAAAAGGAGGGCTCGAGGGAAATGGGAATTGGATTGGCCTCTGATTGCTGCTCGCACTGCCTGCAACGCTGCTCGCTCTGCCCTGCTTGTTCTGCTAGGTCGTTGGGACAACTGGCTGGTTGGGTTGGGTTCAGAAACTTGAAGTGGTTCAGCTCGGTTGAAACGTGTTACGAGAGTTTTTCCTGCTTAGATGGAGAATCTGAATGCTGTTGAGCTCGGTTCCAATGGTTCAGGAAAGGTTTGGTGTTTTTTACGTGTGGTCCTTCCTCCCTCTCCACCGCAGAAGGCATTGGCTCAGCGCAGAGCAGCGGAATTTCGACCAATCCTGAGGCTGGACTGTCGGCGGAAAATGGTCGCCGACAAGGTTGGCGCACCGCGACTGGCCGCAAAATCACCACCTTTGCGCCAAAAGCGGACCGAGCCCTAGAAATCCAAACCACCTGACGGGGGAAGGGCGGGCCAAAGGCGGAAGCAGCACTCAGATCCTCTGCTTCGACCGGGATATATTTTTTCTGGCGAAACTCCATTTTGCCCGTGGCGAGACGGATTTGACTCGGATTCGGCGCAAAAGGGTGTTGGACCTTACAAAATCCAAACCACCTGATGGCGCAACGAAATGGGCGCAAGAGTGGTTACACTACCGGTTTGGATTATGGACGGTCGCACGAAAGCGACGTCGCAACCACTGTTCTACAGTATTTGTATATAAACTTTGTTTTTGACACTTTGGTGTAATTCTGACAAGCAGAATGTCAAAATGGCTGTCAAAATTCTATATGGTTTGGCTCATAACTCCATAATTTGTTGGTCGTTTGCACACAAATATGGATTTCCAGCATCTCCTTGATGTCCTCTACCAGCGGGCATGAGTTTGTTATTTTGTCAAATTTGTTACATTTTGACACTTTTGGGTCACCTAAGGTTGCTCATAGCACATGTAAAGTCATTCTCTGGGCATCACACACATGTGTTATGTGGTGACCATATTTTTTTGAATTGTTCGTGTTATGACACCTGTTCCAGCCCCCCTGAACATTTTCAGCTCTATGCAAACTGATTTGGTGGTCTTTTTCTTGCAACGAAGTTAGTGCTGAGTTGCCTGGTGTGATGTGTCAAGTGAAATCACCCACTTCTCCTTGGGAAAATGAGCCCATTTTGATAGGGCGCTGTCATCACACCTAGTCCTGATCCCCATCCAGTTTTCACTTCATTTCATCAAGGTTTGCCATGCTTTTCATGTTATATTCTGCAGGCGGGTGCAGAATTATGTGCAGAAATGCCTGGAACCATGTTTCTTGTAAAATCAACCACTTTGCCTTGGGAAAATGATCTGATTTTCATAGGGGACACTCTTCACACATATCCCAGACTACCCTCTGAAGTTCACCTCATTTGCCCAAGGTTTGATATGGTTTTTAAGCCTTGTTGTGCAGCAGTCTGCAGAATTCTGTGCAAAATTGCCTGGAATCAGGTTGCAATTGAAATCACCCACTTCTCCTTGGGCAAATGAGCTGATTTTTATAGGGGACTCTCAACACACATATTTCAGACTCCCCTCTGAAATTCATCGTATTTTCTTAAGGTTTGATATGGTTTTTAAGCCTTGTTGTGCAGCAGTCTGCAGAATTCTGTGCAGAATTGCCTTGAGTCAGGTTGCAATTGAAATCACCCACATCTCCTTAGGAAAATGAGCTGGTTTTTATAGGGGACTCTCACCACACATATTCCAAACCCCCACCTGAAATTCACCTCATTTTCCCAAGGTTTGATATGGTTTTTAAGCCTTGTTGTGCAGCAGTCTGCAGAATTCTGTGCAGAATTGCCTTGAATCAGGTTGCAATTGAAATCACCCACTTCTCCTTGAGCAAATGAGCTGATTTTTATAGGGGACTTTAACCACACATATTCCAGACTCCCACCTGAAATTAATCTCATTTGCCCAAGGTTTGATATGGTTTTGAAGCCTTGTTGTGCAGCAGTCTGCAGAATTCTGTGCAGAATTGCCTGGAATCAGGTTGCAACAGAAATCACCCACTTATCCTTGGGCAAATGATATGATTTTCATAGGGGAATCTCATCACACATATTCCAGACTCCCCTATGAAATTCACCTCATTTCGTAGAGGTTTGATATGTTTTTCATGCTCTTCTCTGCAGGCGGGAGAAGATCACTTTGTTGAAATGTACAACATTTGTTTTGTATTTAAATGCCATTGTTATACCGGTGCTAATGAGCCCTTATTGATAGGGCACTCATCTCACACTTTTAGGATTATCCGTTTTAGAATTGGGTGTGCTAATCATGCAAAGTTCATGCTTGTGTTTGTTTTATGGTTTACAAAAACTAGCACTATACGTGCTACGCGAGTACCCCTATACCGGTACTGTGGGATGTACACATTCATTCGGTTTCTGACACGTGTGACAGGTCGCAGAGACTGCTCTATTTCCACGTTGCGGAGGGAACCATGCGGATGGGATAGTTATACCAGGCAGCCTGTCATGAACCTGTCACAGGTCACCTTTCTTTTTTGTTTAGGGGCTGCCCGTCACCATTTCGTACTAGGTCGAGGCAAAGCTGAGACCATGCAATGCACCGCAGAACATGCAATATGCTTACATGGCATATAAGGTTGGCAATCAACCAACCAGCAACTGAAGTAGAACATTTAGGAGAACAATCTGGCGACAAATAGGCCAATCACTGCAGAAGGATGCAAATAGTAGTTCGCAGATGTTCGAAGGGAAATGGTGAGAAGCCTAATATTTTGATGTAGGGGGCAGAAAAGTCTTACTATGCCTGGCGTTTGTAGCAAAGCCTTTCCCACCTTCTGTGAGGACGAGAGTACAACCAATTCTACCAGCGAAACAGAAGCTGTTATCAGGGTGGGTGCACCAAAGCTCAAGGTCATTCTCGCCATTCCAATCTGAGTCTTGGTTCCACAACTAGCCTCCTCACAAGCTTCCCTCTCATTCTAGTGTCGGCCTCAAATCCTGCAGGCGGACAGTGTATGGTAGTAACCGTATAGCTACCTGCCAACTTCTGGCTTACTTACGCGATGTCGTCCCAGTTAATCACAGATGGCTGCGGATTGTCTGTACGACTAGGGCGGGAGTCTTATGAAATGTTAATCGCTCGTCAGGAAGAGTGGAACGAGGCGTTACTTTTCGGCCTTGTGTATGTATCCAAGCGCGGTTTGTAACGCACGCCGACTTCATCAGCACGTTAAACCCTTGTATTTTTAGACACGCACCTGCTATCTTCTTACCGGCCGAAAGCTGAGACATAAGTCCGGCAGAGGTAACGCGTCGTATGACGCTCTTAGCTCGAATGGTGACGCAGAAGCTCTGCAACTTGGCGGCCCGCAACAGCAGCATCAGTCGCGACGTGGCCGACCTGACCGTCCATTACTGCCGCGACGCCCTGGCCAACCCGGAAGAAGTCGGCCATGGAAACGAGGAACGGCGGCGCCAAGCTGAAACGGCGGCCAGGTTTCGCGAGCAGGTGGACACGAGACTCTCCAACTTGCGGGAGAGTATCGAAAGGGTGAGTGATCAGGTTCGCTAGTCGGGAGGGGGGATGGCGGAGGGCACGTTAAAGGGGGTGGAAGAGAGGTTGAGAGAGGTTATGAGAGAAGACTCTGAGCGGCGGAACAGGGGTAGACTGCAGGACGAGGAGCGGAGGCAGAAGGCCACGAGGAAGGAAGTAGACGCCGCAGAGAGGCGGAAGAAGGAACAACAGCAGGAGGAAGAGCATCGGCAGAAGGAGATGAGAGAGGGAATGAAGGAGATGAAGGAGGCGATGATGGAGATGAAGGCAAAAATGAAGGAGATGAAGGATGGGATGGTAAACCAGATTGTGGGGAGGTTGAGCGCGGTTTTGCGAGAAGAATCCGAGCGGCAGAAGAAGGCGAGGCAAGAGGACGAGGAGCGGCGACAACAGCAGGACGCGAAGAGGAAACAAGTGGCGGACGACGAGGAGAGACAGAAGAAGAAACAACTGGACGAGCAATGGCGGAAGGCGGAGGAGGAGAAGAGGAAGGATGTAGAGGCCACAGAGCGGCAGAGGAAGAAGAAACATCAGGAGGAAGAGCGACGGCAGAAGGAGGTGGAGGCGGGAATGAAGGAAGTGATGGAGGCTGTGAAGGAGATGAAGACGGGGATGAAGGGGTGGAAGGAGGGGATGCTAAGTGAGGTGGAAAAGCGGCTGTCAGTAAATCTGAGATTGGATGCAGAGTGGCGGCAAAAGGAGGAGCAGGGTAGGAAGGCAACGGAGGGAGATCGGCGACAGAAGGAGGATGCGCAGAGGAAGGAGGCTGAGGAGGACGATCGGGAGGAAAGGGAGAAACAACAGGAGAAGGAGCACCAGCAAAATGAGGAGGCGCAGAGGAAGGAGGCAGAGGAAGCAGAGCGGGTGGAGAGGGAAAAACAGCAGGAGATGGCGCGCATGCAGAAGGAGGAGGCGCAGCGCAAAGATGCAGAGGAGGCCGAGAGGCAGGAGAGGGAGAAACAGCAGGAGATGGCGCGCCTGTAGAAGGAGGAGAGGCAGAGGAAGGAGGCAGAGGAGGTAGAGTGGCAGCAGAGGGCGAAACAGCAGGAATTGGACCGCCTGCAGAAGGAGGAGGCGCAGAAGAAGGAGGCAGAGGAGGCCGAGCGGCAGCAACGGGCGAAACAGCAGGAGATGGAGCGCCTGCAGAAGGAGGAGGCGCAGAAGAAGGAGGCAGAGGAGGCCGAGCGGCGGCAGAGGGCGAAACAGCAGGAGATGGAGCGCCTGCAGAAGGCGGAGCAGTGCCGAGCAGAGAAGAGGGCCAGACTTGCATCCTACGCAGAACAGCAGCGGCAACTGGAGGCAAAGACAAAGGCGATGGATGAAGAGACGGAACGATTGGCAAGGGAGATGGAAGAGGAGGATTTGACCATGCAGGGGGAGGGGACCTGGAAGGGAGTCGAGGAGGAAATAGCTGAGGGCCTGGGGAGTTTGCTGTTGATTGAGAGCGGGGAGGCGAATGTAGCAGAGGGCGTGGCTATTGTTCCCGGACAGAACGTAGAGGTGTCCAGGAGGCGGCCTAGACAGGAGGACAGGGAGCCGGAGGGTCATGCGGCTAAGAGACGGCGTGCAGCTGGTATACAGGAGTTGATACCGATAATCCCAAGGGAAAAGAAAGGGATGAAGATTGACAAGTGTGACAACAGGAAAAACGCCGTAGTGGACGACAAGGGTAAGACTTTGGGTGTCTGCCTGCCGTTCAGGGGAAGCAGGTTCTCTCAACAGGGCGAGGGAGCATTGCAGAAGTGGACGTCTGAGCAGACCGTCGGCGGCCGGAAGCGGAACCTCGGTTCTCACAATACGGTGTGGGAGAGGGCATACACGGTCGCAGTCTACTGGAAGTTCTACTTCCCGGATATTGACATGCAGGCATATGGCATGAATCGAAACCGTATTAACAAGTGGCGGGAAGACCTCGACTTCACAACGTGGCTTCCAACAGGGGTGTGGAGCGTCATCAACGAGCTCCACCTGGATAAACCGGACGGGTGAGTGTTTATGTGATGGACAGTTGCAACTTCTAAACACCCGCGAAGTTCGATGGTTCTGATCTTGCGACACTGGTGTCTTGTGCAGATTCTCACTCGTTCAAACCAACACGGCTCTTTGGCAGCAGCAGGGGGATGGATTTCAGGTAGCTGCCTGCGCTGGTGTCGGAATAACTGCGTCGCAGAAGATGGTGGGAGGCGTGGAGGGTGAAAACGGCTATTCGACGGAAGAACATGCAGTCGGACTTGCCGCCACATTGTCTGTAATGTGGGCTGCATCGTGGACCAGACCCAGTGGGAGAGGGGCGCAACATCAGCTACACGTGGAACTTCTACGGCCATAGCATCTTCTGCTGCCAGATCGTCCACTGCTGCCACCGCCTCGTCGGCTGCCTCGTCATCTTCTGCGGCCGATGTGTCCTCTGCCATCCTTGATGCCCTTGCGACGCTTGCAGCCTCGGTTGCTTGCGTTGCGATTGAGGCGATGAGGTCGGTCAAGGATCAGGAGCATGACAAGGAAGCGTGGATTCTGCCCCTGTCGGATGCGCTGCTGAAAGCGCTCCCGGCAGAGTCGCGAGCGGCCGGGGATACGAAGCGGATGACAAGGGTGGTGGCAAAGGTGGTGACCTCTTGGTGCCTATGCAGCATGGCATCAAGAGGCCTTCGCCAGCACCAGGGCGTCTGCCTCGGAGTCCAGCAGAAGAAGTTGGGCGGCCGAGATACCACAACAGGGGCGGATAAGGAGAAGAAAACCAAGAAATCGTCCGCGAAGGGGAACGCGACGAAGGATGCGTCGACGGAGGAGAACACCGGCACTGGCGGCCAGGAGTGATAGAGGCAGACGGCTTCTTTGGAGGTCTTGTTAGTACCGCAGTAGAAATAGATTTTCCTTTCCGTTTTTTTTTTTTAAACCGTGTATAAATATAGGTGTTGTTGTATACAATACAATGAGAGATGTATTTTTGCTATGCAAACCTTCACTACACTCGCGAAATTTGTAGGGCGCGTATGGAGCTAGCAATGTAGCCAATAGAACTCGCCATCAAAGGGAGGGCCAGGCGAATAAAATAATTGACGACAGGACGGCCTTCTACGACACTTAATCTACGTTTAATACTCGGCTTCTACGAGGAGGTAGAAGTATGGGGCTAAACAATCGCATAACATCTTTTCTTAGGGAGCACCTTGTTAAGAATCGTATACGGTATTCCTATGCACAGACCTTTCTGCTATGGAGATTGAATTCCTCGACGCCAAATTCTGGAGGCAAATCGGAAACGACACTATACCGCAGAAAAACCCACGTATGGATAATATCTACCGTCATGGATAGGATCTTCGTTGCTACTAGTAGAATGTGACACTCCTTTGCCCAGAAACATATGCTGAGACTGAATACATCCACGCAAAAGTCTACCGAGTGGCCTAAGAACACACATCTACAATTCTGAGAGTGAATTCATCAACGCCGCTCTATAGAATAACATCGTATACGACATGAGTCCGCAGAATTTCGCCCGGTGTATACCATCGATGTGTGCTTCAATGCATAGACCAGAAAAACATTCTACGAAAAACAGCGCGTCCAGGGAAGAAGGTGGCATACAAGCCCCAAATCGGGCTTCTACAGAGACAGACAAGTGCCTGTAGTGCATATTCAGTACAACCGGAATAAAGTACCCAAATAACTAAACCGCCCCACCCTAAAGGTACATGCCCCCTCATTTCTGCTCCTAGCGTTTCGACGCTTCGCCCTTCGCCTTTTCCCGTTCCGCCTTCTTCGCCGCAGCGGTTCGTTGTTTCTCCTCTTCCGCCTTCTCCTGTGCCATGTGTTACTTGTGGATCTCCTCCCACTCATCATCTCCAAACAGCGAAGTTGCCCACTCCTGGTTGCGAAGGCCCTTCTTGACTAACTGCCAGCCCACTCTGCGTTGCGCCAAGTCGTTGATGGTCCTCTTTTCCGTCGACGAACCGGTCTTCTGTTTCTTGATGGGCGGAGTCTCATGCAGCACCGCCAGGCCGTTGGTGAATTCCGTGAAGTTGCACACGAGCAAAACCTCGTCCAGCAGCTTAATGGCCGTTGCGGTTGCCGCCTCGGAGCTGTCTTTTCTTAGCGTCTCCACGGAAACCATGACACGATGCACGCGACGCATCTTTCGCTCGCATGCACCCACAGCCATCCCGGGCGTACCTTTGACAGCGAACCGGGAATATGCGGTGATGAAGCTGGAATTCTTGTTCTTCTTCTTATACCGGTCGAACTATGCAAAGACTTCGCGCAGTGACCTGCCGCCCATGATGAGGCTTGGCTGCACCCACACTTTCCAGGCAGCAGCAACAGTGGTGGCTTCGCGCCAAGACACACCGACCACGACGAAGAATTCTTCCACGGCAACTGGTGCTTTGGATGCGTCCGTTGCCTGGTTTGCTCCTGTTCCCGCACTCTTCGACGATCCGTCGATCTCTGCAGAGGTGTTTGCCGCGTCATCCCTGGCCGCAATAGACCTCTTGTATGCTTCGAACTCTGCAATGACCCGAGCCTTGTCCTCTCGCTCAGCGGCGAGTTTCTCCCTCAGTTCAGTGTTCTCCATCGCCAACTGCATTTCACGTCCTCTCAAAATCCCAAGCTCCTCCCTAAGCATATTGGCGGTGAGGTGCATCTTCTTCGTCTTCTCTTCTGCGGTCGTGCGAAAGATAGCGTCCTGCAGAAACCAACACGACAGAACTCAGCATGAACGAATAACTCCCTCTCTCTACCACTAATAGCAGGCACTTACTGCTTTGGCGGTGGTTTGGCCGGTTGCCCGAAGCTTCTGGCCCTGGAAGTGAGAGATAGCGACCAGGTACGCCCACTTTTGGAACAGCGGGTGGTTGCACAAGGGGCTCATCTGCACATATGGATGCCTCTCGCAATCGCACCGCGGGTTTCTCACGCCGTGCTGATGGCAGAACGCCCACATCATAGCCAGTTCCTGTGCAATAACAAGGCGTTCGATGCTCGCGAGGGTCTCAAGGAACCTCGCCCCCGCATAGTGCCTCTTCAGCGGATCGGTCTGCGCAGCGTTCCATTCTTCGACCTGACGGGACGAGTATGCAGGAGAAATGCGACGGTTCATAATTGCGTATCAAAATTAAGCTACGAACGCGAAGAATGTACACTAGCACGTACCTTCTTCCAACCCTCTTCGACCCAGGGGAAAATGTGAAGCCTCAAGAGATCTAAGAGCTACAACCACTCATCCTTCTCCTTATCCTTATGCCGCAGAAGCTTGGCGCGTGCTCTGCCGATGTAGTAGTCTCCACGATCCCCGTTGAATCCTGCCAGCAGCCAAACCGGCTTGAACGGAATGCCGAACACATAACAACTCCGCAACTCCCCTTGCGCCCATCCGCCCAGAGTGCCGATATCGTTGTCGGAGCAACCATCGTCATGGAGTTGTTGCGCTCCGGATCTGCGGAATGCATGTGTCACCTTGCTCAGAATCCATCTCGCCTTTGTCATGGCCCACTTAATCCAGGTGTTATGCGTTTTGTAGTGCGTCTCGTCTTGCTTCTGCTTTCCCTGGTCGCCCTTCTTCAAAGAAAAGAAGAGGTGCGCTTTAGTCCACAAGATCGGTTCGAAAAGTCAAGAGGCTCGACGATACCGGGGCCGTAGCGCAGAGGAACGAGGTCGTAGATGAAATGAAGCCACAGGAACACATGGCCCATTCCGCAGAGCCGCCAGTCCCTATGCCTTGCAAGAAACAGATGACTCAGCTTGTTGTTGGGGTTGGTCTTCGACTTCCTGGAAACAACGACGAGTACGAAAACCTCCAGATAGTCGTCGAGGTGTGATGTGCTCCGCGTCATGCGGACAAACAGGTTCCCAAGGCGAATCTTTCGAATGCTGCACCCTCTTCCGAGAAATTGGTGTACGAGGTGCATCATAACCGGGACTTGCAGAGCCTTCCAGAGAGGAAGCGAGATTTGTGACGGAGGCGTCCGCCACCAGATCTCTAGGAGCTTTTTTCGCAGAACAGTAAGATGCAGCGTCCTATACTGGCTTCCTGTATAGCAATCACCAATTGATCCACGGGTTTGATCTCGACCATCCCTGCATAGAATAGCACAGTAATTATGTAAAGCATGTAGATCAACATTCACACAAACAGAAAGCACACGTATATGTTACTCACGCGACTTGCTCGTCGTTCAAATCCTTCAGCTTGACTTTGAGATAATCCCGAGCATCCTTGATCCAGTCCTTGGTCAGTGTGATGGAGAAGCCGTAGAGCCTCGCCTCGCATCTGGCAAGGCATCCCATTGCGTTCGTCTTTGCCTTGATCATTGAAGCCGTGCACCCCTTTGCCTCCTTCCCCACATATTTCTCGACGTCTGGCCGCATTTTTCCACGCAAAAACTTTGCCTGCTCTTCAGTTTCGCAGAAGAGATACTCGATGTATCGGCCGAGCCTCCATTCCGTGACTCGCGGCCCGTGCAGATGAATCTGCCACTCGTCAGAGCTGCACGACCACCCATCATTTCCCAAGTTATTGCTCATATGAAACCCAACCTCGTCGTGCGGAGAGGGAGCCAGCCTATCTGCCACAAGGACATCTACCATCATTGCCATGAAGATAATCACCCACCACTTGAAGTGGAGAAAGTGGAAACAATAGTGCCTTCTCGTGCCGGCCTCTATCAGTCGAAGCGGGATTGTTGAACGCCGGATCCTGCTCTCCTTTTCCGCAACGTCGGTCTGCCGCTGCGCATTTCCGGGGGCCGCAGCCTGCTCGACATGGCTCGCAGAATCGGGAGGTCGTCGTCGTCCCGGCGATGATTCTCCCTCCTCTTTGTCAGAATATTATAGCTTACTTATTTGTGTAGGCTATAGTGGGGTATCCCATAGGGGGTACAACCCAACTAGGGTTTCCTATTTGTACTCACTTCATTCATAGTCATTTCATTCACGTTCCTTTCTTCACATGGTATCAGAGCAGGTCCCATCCTAGGGACTGTTCTTTAGGGCCCACCGAAGCGCGCCCGAGGCGCGCGCCTTTTTTTAGCGACCCTCCGAGTCGCCCTTTTCCTTCGCGGCCCCGCCGCCCTACTTCCCGGCCCGACCGCCGCCCTACTCGCGGCCCAGCCGCCACCCTACCTTAGCGGCCCACCCGCCGCCCTTGCTAGCGGCCCCGCCGTCCCGTCGCGGCCCCGCCACCCAGTCGAGGCCCCGCTACCCCTACGCGCGGCTCCGCCACTCCGTAGCGGCCCCGCCACCCCTTCGAGCGGCCCCACCCCTCCGTCGCGGCCCCGCCACTCCGTCGCGGCCCCCCCTCTCCGTCGCGGCCCCGCCACCCCTTCGAGCGGCCCCGCCACTCCGTCGCGGCCCCGCCACCCAGTCGCGGCCCCGCTACCTCTTCGCGCGGCCCCGCCACTTCGTCGCGGCCCCGCCACCCCTTCGAGCGGCCCCGCCACTCTGTCGCGGCCCACCCGCCGCCCTACCTGCGGCCGTCCCGCCCCCCTACCTGCTTCCGTCCGCTGCCCTACCTGCGGCCGTCCCGCCGCACTACCTGCGGCCTACCCGCCGCCCTACCTGCGGCCCGCCCGGCCGCCCTACCTACGCGGCCCACGGCAGCCGAGCCGCCGCGCCGCCCAGGAGCAGCCGAGCCGCCCAGGAGCCGCCGAGCCGCCCAGCAGCAGCCGAGCCGCCCGGAGCAGCCGAGCCGCCCAGCAGCAGCCGAGCCGCCCGGAGCCGCCGAGCCGCCCAGCAGCAGCCAAGCCGCCCAGCAGCAGCCAAGCCGCCCGGGAGCCGAGCCGCCCAGCAGCCTAGCGGCCGTGTCGCCAGGCGACCTT